TAATAAAAAATAATATGTATTTTGTACAAAATATAAGGGTTTTTATAATGATATTCTTACATATTTAACACATATAAGCAGAATTTTTCAATTTTTTTTTTTTTTTTTGACTCGCAATATATAGAATACTTAAAGAAATTAAAAATAAAACTGTTTGACTTTAGGCAGAAAAAAGTTATTCAAAACAGCTAAACATTTTTCTGTGTCTGCTCACCAAGTAGTTTGTAGAATAGTCATAAAGAGTAAAATTAAAAATTAAAAAACATGTAGCTAGCGCTAAAATTCAACAAAACTTAAAGTTATTTTTCTTATTTATATATAAAATCCTAATATTTTTTAAATATAACTTTTTTGAAATCAATTTTTTTTTTTAATGACACAACCTAATATATATATATATATATATATATATATATATATATATATATATATATATATATATATATATATATATATATATATAAATAGAATTAGCCTCACCTTTATTTTTTGTTTTAATTTACACAAAATGGCAGAGAAACTATTAAATCCACTTTATTTTTTATTATCTTCTGCTACAACTACTAAGTTTATAAATTGATATGTTTAATTACAAATGGAAAAAAAATTAAAAGTATTCAGTTTATGGAGAAAATAGAATTAATCTCATTTTCGTTATATACAAGAAAATACAGAAAATATTTTGTTTTTACGCTCATTTAATATTTAGTATTGCTTTCTAAATTTTTAATGACGTCAATTATGCGACTTGAATTTTCAATTGGGTTAAGATCTGGACTACATGCATTCCATTACATGAATATTTTTTTTCTCAAAACCAAGCTTTTGTAAGCTTTGAATTATGGATAGCAGCATTATCTTGTTGAAAAGTGAAATTTTCAACCATCAATTCCTCACCATGTTCAAGCAAACTTATTTCTAATAAGTCAATGTGTAATAAGTCTTGTGAATTCATTTTTGTTAAAATCCATGCCTGTGGAAGTTTTACAGCAAAGGAAAAAGCCCCCCAAGCCATAACAGTTACACCACCAAAGTTACAACTCATCCGATTTTCTTTTTCTTTTTGAAGATTGTGCCAGTAAATTGATTGCCATCAGGACCATCTAGATTGAGCTTTCTTTTTCACTAAAGAGAAATTGATGCCACTCTTCCCGCCAAGACATGTGTTCTAACTTTTAATATCTAACTTCTTTATGACGAGCAGTAACTTACATGAAGATCCAAACTGTGTTTGGATCTTCATGTAAGACTTGCCTCACACGATGAACAGATAGAGGTAATTGTAAATCAGCATGAATTAGTCATCTTCAGTTAAAATTAAATATTTAAACTTTTGCTAAATACCTATGGACATGATAAAAAACACATAATTTTTTAATTATCGGTTTACAAACTATTAACAATATAATTATAAAATGCAATAAAGTTTATTAAAAGATTTTTCTTTAACAAGTCATATTAAAATAGTAGGTTAAATAGAATATGTTGTTTAAGATTTCCTGTTTTCTTTAAGATTTAACTTTTTAGATGCTGAATTTAAAATGGAAAAACACATTCAATTAAATGAAAAAATTTTCATTAAAGTTTTTATTCACGTAAAGCTGACCAATGACTGAGTAAAAGCAATCGCTCATTTTTATTCACCCGGTCTAATTAATTTTGGATTTGATTTTATTTAAAGCTTTCGCGTAAAATAAAAACTTTGAAAAAGATCAATAATTAAAAGTTATTCGTAATGTAACAATTTTTTAAATTGCTTATAAGTTGTTAAAGCATCAAAACAACTGTTGTCAAATTGTTTAGAAAAAAACAAACTTTATCAGTTACAGCTAGGGTTTCCAGACGTCCGGCTTTTACGAAGGAGAACACAGTAAAAAAATTATTTTTACAAGTTTGACGCTGTATTCTCCTCCGTAAAAGCCAGGCATCTGGCAACCCTAGTTACAGCATAGTCATAATAACAGCTTTATTGTTTATTTTATTATGTATTTTATGATTTATTATGTATTTTATGACTAGGTTACAGTGTGAAATTTTGTCCGTCTAAAAAAACGTGCAATATTAAATTTAAACCATTTTATAAAAAAATAAAAAAAATGCAATGAATTATTCTAAATAGTAAGGAAAGAAACTACAACTTCATTAGATTACTGTTAAATAAACTGAATAACATGACAAAGGTTACGATTGCATAACTCGGTTCCATAAAACCGTTAAAATTATATATTAAAAATTTGATCGGACACTTTCTGACCCTAACAAGTTTTGATTGGGCATTTTGTCCGGGTCTTTATAAAAAATTAAATTGAACCCTAATCAGTGTCTCGAGATAGTGAGTATAATATTTTTTATAATAATTTTGCCTGTTTAATAGCAGTTACATCCTGCACATATGAATTGGTAGACTATTAGCAATTTGAATTCTAGAGGAACAGGGTCTTTGGAAGAAAAGAATTTCAAAATTTTAAGTGAGGTAAGTAGTAATTAAAAATTAACCAAACAACAATATGTGTTTATTTTGTTTAAAATAAGAGTTATACTTTCAAGATGGATTCATGTTTCTTTAAAATACTTTAAAAAGGTTGTTGATGTTAAAGTGAAACCCAAGTTTACTACACTCAGCGAAATTTCTATAGTTCCATGTAGTTATTTCAGATTTTATGCGGAATGCCTTTATAAAATTAACCAAATAAATTTTCTTTATTAGACCTATTGCAAACAAATGCGTTTATGATAATTTTATGTGTTTCTAAGACAATTGAAACTAAATTTTCTAGAATGTTTTTAAAATTTGTCAAGCGAATGTTCCGTAGTTCCATTCGTTTGTTTTAAACACTTAATAAGAATTAATTGAAGTTTTAGTAAGATTTTTTAATTTGTTTGTTATATATGGAAGTTTTGTGTATTTTTTATTAAGATTTTTTATTTAATTATTACAATGCCTCGCGGAAAGGTGTTAAATGAGGAAGAAAAAGCAAAAGTTGTTGCTCCCAAAGATATGGGTTTGTCCAATCGACAAATTGCAAAGAAAATCAAAATGTCTCATCATGCAGTGAACAATTTTATAAACTTTGGTAAAAATTACAATAAAAATCACTGTTTTTCAGGGCGGAAATAAAAAACAACCAAAAGGCAACATTCTTCCATTTTGTGTTTGGTGTCATCCAGAGTACGAACAGCAAGACTAATAAGGACTGAACTTGAATTACTTGTGACTACAAGAAGTGTCCAGCAAGCTTTGTCAAAATCAGGATGATTTCAATGGAAAAGAATGATCACAAAACCACCATTGACAAAAAAATATAAAAGTGCAAGATTTAAGTTTGCAAAGGACCACATGACATAGAATGCAGAATGGGAAAATGTTATTTTTTCCAACAAAAAAAAGTTTAACTTAGATGGGCCTGATGGTTTTAAGTATTATTGGCATGATTTGAAAAAAAAAGATAGCATAGCTATGAGTCGAACTTCGAAGGAGGGACAGTTATGGTCACATTTTGTTTCCCTAGCAAAATTATGTTTTATTACAACAAAATATGTTTTGTTGTAATAAAACATATTTTGTTATATTATAACAAAATATGTTTTATTACAACAAAAATGAATGCAAGAAATTACATAAATCTTTTAAAAGATGTTTTAATAGAGTTTAGTGAAGGTTTACCTAATGAGAACTGGATTTTCCAACAAGATAATTAGGCGATTCACACAGCACCAAGCATAAAAAAGTTGTTCCAGGAAAAAAGTATAAATGTTTTGGATTGGCCATCATGTTCACCTGACTTGAACCCTATTGAAAATTTATGGGGAATTTTGGCACGAACTATATATGGAAATTCTCAACAGTATAATACAATACAAGAACTTAAAACATCTATCCAACAAGCATGGAATGGTATTTCAAAGGTTTGTTTGGAAAGTCTTATAAAAAGTATGAAAAACCGAATCTTTAAATTAATTAGTGTAAAAGGTGGTAGCACACATTATTAAAAACTAAACTAATTAAAATTAATTATTATCTAGAACAAAAATTATAAAGGATTAATTTTGATGGAACTATAGAAATTTCGCCTAGTTTTTCAAAATATTTCTAACTTTTAAGTTTTACATAATAAATTAATAATTATTTTCTATTAAAATGTTATTTGCTTATTTATTCCTAATAATTCCTGTAATAAACGAAAAAAAAAAGAAATACTTCATGAATTTATTTATATGTACAAATTGTAAGTGGAACTATGGAAAATTCTGCTTAGTGTAGTATTAATTTTTAAGGTTCTATCCATTAAACATTTAATAAGACTAACTTGTATGCAAAATGGAGTAAAACTATAAAAATTAGTGTGAAGACCAGAATAGGTTTTTTAATGAAAAACGGAAATGGTAACTGAAGAATTAATTTTGTGTAGAGTTACGTCTAAGAAAGATATCTTTGAATCCATTTCTTGCTCCATAGTGAAAGAAATTGACATCTAATAAGTCTGAGTTAAAACTTAAAGAAAGCATGTTCATAAAATGAATAAAAGCTGATATAAACAAACAGATCAGGGTAGGGTGAAGTAGTCTTAACCTTTTTTTAGCTATTTTTGATATTAGGAAAAAAATATATAGAGAAAAAAATATTTTTTTGAAGAAAACTCAAAATTCTAAAATCATGATTATATATCATTTTTAGTAAATTAAATTTTTTAATTAAAAATAAAAATAAAAATAAATTTTTAGTAATAAAAACATGAAAGTTAATACATAGTTTTTAAAGTTGTCTAAGGAACACTGATTTAAGTTGTGTTCGATAAACCGTTTTGTATTTATTAATATATATATATATGTATATACTACATACATACATACATACATACATACATACATACATACATACATACATACATACATACATACATACATACATACATACATACATACATACATACATACATACATACAATATATCATTAAATCATTATTTTAACTGATAAATCACAATATAAACTGAAATTTAGGGGGCATTTGTTTATGAGACAACTGTTACTTGTAACTATGGAAACAACAGCAGTAAAACAAATACGAAGATAATTACACTTGAAGGGATAGGTCAATATTTTTGTATAAATTTTAAAAATAAATTGTTTCTTTTTTCATGAATTAAAAATTAAATCATTCAAAATTAAAAGTCAATTTTAGGTAAATTTCCGTATCTCAGCCTAAAATATGAAAATATCACTGGTAATGAAATAACAGTGGATTTTGGTGAAGTTGTTCTTGGCGAAACATTACACAAAATTGTTGAAATCAAAAACTGTACCCCAGTATTTATTTTTTTGTTTAATTTTTATTTATGTAAATATACAATTTCATTTTTCAAAACAGTTTTTAAGTATTTTATTAAAGTATCACTTATAGTAAACTAAGAATTGTACACTTTTTTGTTTAATATTTACAGGTTAATGTTCCGTTTCAAATCATTCAGAAATCTCTTGGTCTGTTGGTTGAAAATGCTTTTCAGTGTTCACAGTATCATGGAGTTATTCCTGCTGAATATACTCACAAAATTAGGGTGTCTTTTAAACCAGAAAACTTCAATTTGGTGTATGCTGATAACTTTGAAGTTTTGCCAGTTGCATTGATAAATAAATTGTATATAAAATGTATTGGGCGAGGAAAATCCCCAAATGTTAGTGCTAATGTCAAGTCAGTGAATTTTGGAGTTACAGCAATCGGGGTCGAGGTTGTTCGATCATTTAAACTTATAAATGGCTCATGTTCCCCAGTATTGTATCAGGTGTTTTTTTAATTTTTTAATTTTGTACAGTTTTAATTTTTTTTTTTTAATATTGAATATTTATTTTAAATTTTGGAGAGAGTAAAAGAATGTAAATGCAATATTTGTGTCGTAAAATGCTTGCATTAAACAAAATGTTTTAAATACGATCCCCACTGTCTATTGTAGTACTAGACTCAACTTGTTTCTCTGCACTTGTTCTCTGAGTTTTGTGTTTTAGAGTTAAAAAGTTGAAAAAGGGTTTTAAAAGTAGAGCAGGTCAATTTTGAAACTGAGTTATTGGACTAGTAGAGTTAGGTGTGTTATTGCAAGTTAAAATATCATTCTAAAGAATTTTTTGTATATTTGCTTAGTTTTTTGAGGAAAACTAATTTTTCATGCGTTTTAATGTATAAAAAGAATGTTTTTAAAAAAGTTTCAAATAAAAACAGCGTAAAAAATAATGGTTTGAGAGAAAATATTTTTAAAACTTATTGATTTTAGCATATTATTTGAAAGAAAAATGTTTAAATTTTACTTTTATAAATAATATTTTGTATTTTTGTGATTAAAATAAATAAAATTTTTGAACTATAAATGACATCAAGTAATGGTTTTACTTTATTTTCTCCTAACATAAACTTAGTTAACAAACATGTGATTGCATAAATAACTCTTGCTAAATCAAAAATCTAAACAAATAGGAAAAAACAGTTAGCAGAAGTTCATTTTTTTGTGTGTATTTGAGTTTTTTACAGAAAATGTAATTATTTCTCTAAAGCATATCAGCCTGATTTTTGAAAAGTTGCCTTCAAATGCTGAATTTGGTTAAATTGTTATCAAATATATATATATATATATATATATATATATATATATATATATATATATATATATATATATATATATATATATATATATATTTTATGCTTTACAATATTAAAAAAGAAACAAACAGCTACTTGAGATTTTATCAGAGAAAATGGAAAACTCTTCTTGTTGTATTTTTTTAAATCTTTTTTTTTTAAATAACTTTTTTAAACCGTAAGTCTATTTCATTTAAAATAAGCATTAGGTTTCCTATCTTTTTTACCCAGGTTGACTAGATTTTTAGGGAGGGTTTCCTCAAAAATTGGTGCAAAATAGCAAGCTAAAATTTTTGTAACGTTTTAAATGGTATTAAATTGCACTTATCTCAACTAGTCCATGTCTAATTTCCAAAAAAAGTTGAATGTCGAAAGAAAATGAGTTTCCAACTTTCCCGGTAGTGGAAATAGATTGAATTAATTTTTAAAATTAACAATAAACCATTTTTAGCTTTAAGCATAAATAATTCAGTTATAAGTATAATAGAAACTTATCTTAAATAAGCCAAGACGTTATGTATTCAAGCTAGCTCATTTGACAAAAAGTAGTTCTTAATTTTACATTAAAACTTTTTTTTCTTTGAAAATTAATAAACTGGGACAGGTCTTAATATGCTCCTGGTGGTCGATAATTGATAAAATAGATAAGAATTGAATAAATTTTTGTAATGGCTTTCTAATGGAAAGTAATTGGAAATTTTAGGGAAATAAGGTCGAATTTAATTAATAGTAATATTATAATTTTATTACTGTGTAAAAACTTTAAGAAAGTGATTAATTTTTAAATACTTTCCACTTTCTGGAAACTGGAAATTGATTGAATTTAATCCATTTCCACTTCCTGGAAAGTTAAAAATTTTCAAATTTTTTGCCTTCAAACAATAAAGTTAAAAAGTAGTTAAATAAATATTTTCCATTTACGAACACTTTCTAAATCAGAAGAAACTATTTTCCGAAACTGGTTAGAGAGCGAAGTTGAACACCTCTAGTAACAGTTAAAAAAAAAGTATTAGCCTTCTCACCTGCAGTAGCTCTGTTAGTCTTTAAAGAGGTGAATACAGTAAATAAATAAATTTGCAAATATTCTAGGTTATTTTGACCAATCTATTAATTAAGAGACTTCTATAATATAGGGCTATTAGTTTTTGCTTATATAAAAAAACTCATAAAACTCCACCACTTCTTGTTTAGTTTTTTTTTGACATCTGTTTAAAAGTTTATGTTCAGTTAAGCAACACAACAATGGAAGCATGTTCAATAATTTTTTTTATTTTTGACAACATGCAGTTGTCATTAATAAAAATAGTACTGCATTAAAAAAGGTAATTTATTAAGCATTATTTTCAATACCAAATTTATGAAAAATGATTTAATAAAAAGTCTTTAATGATTTGTAAAAAGTCTGTCAATATTTCATGATTTTTAATTGATTTGAGAAGCAGTTGATAGAACTATAAATTACATTGATGGTTATTATGTTTGACTACATGTTAAAAAACTGTTTCTGAAAAGATAATACAGTGAAATTCTTAAAATAAAATTAAAAATAAAATAAAAGAATTTTGAATAAAAATAGTTTGAGTAAAAAAACACATTTTAAATCAGTTTTTTAGCTGTTTATATTTTTATTTAACAATTTTAATTAACAATTTCACTGTATTATCTACCCAGAAACAGTTTTTGAACATGTAATAAACAGGGCTGTGGAGTCAGAGTTTAGAGTTGCGACATTTTTAGCGGAGTCGGAGTCGCTAAACAGAATCGCAACTCCGACTCTAATAGTAAAACTTCTCGGTATTGCAGGTGCATGTATAAAACACTCAATTAACCTTATATTTATACTAAACCTCAAAGAATGTTTCATAAATTTGTCAAAAAACTTTTGTTTTGTTTTATCGCATAATTTTTTTTAAAGAATTCAAAGAATATTTCAAAAATTTTGCTTAATTTCAAAAATTTATCGCATAATTTTTTTTTAAGAATTCAAAGAATTTTTCAAAAATTTTGCTTTGGAGTCGGAGTCGGAGTTGTACTTAAAAAATTTTAACAACTAGAGTCGGAGTCGTTACTTTTTTTTTACGACTCCACACCCCTGGTAATAAGACATAATAACCATCAATATAATTTATAGTTCTATCAACTGTTTCTCAAATCAATTAAGAGTCATGGAATATTGAGAAACTTTCATAATCTATTAAATCATTTCTCATCAATTTAGCATTGAAAATAATTAATGTTTAATAAATTACCTCTTCTAAGTTGTTTTTATAATAGTTTCTTTAATGCACAAATTAGAATAGGTGATGCCAATAGTTTTTAGAAAAATACACTTATTAACCAAAATTAAATGGCGGGATGCAAAATATTCTCTGCATAATTTAGCTTTTTTTTATTCTATGCAGAATTTAGTCAGATTTCTATTTTAGTTTGTAATATTAAATATTTGGTTAGCTGTATGTCTTGCTATTGGGACAAAATGACTTGATAAAAATCAGTTTGGTGTAAAAAAGAAATTGTATGTAATTTCAATACACGCATCGCACCATCCGTCAGTTGTTATAATAATAAAATAAATCTATTTTAATGGCAAAGTATTGTTTAGTAAAAGGTTTATATGACATTTCTAAGATAACAAAAATATTAAAGACAAGTTTCAAAATTAATGCAAACATTTCAATGTAACATTTAAACTGCAAAGCTTAAGAAACTCTTGCTTTGTGATTTATTGTGAACCGAAAAGACAGTTTGCATTATTTTGGAATTTTGTAAATCATAATTTGATGCTTAAGCAGCATGTATTTAAAACTAATCAAATAATATTTTATAATTTATCACGAATAAGTAAATTTAATTTTGTTCATACTTTCTAACAGAAGATTTTTGTTACACTAAATATACTATACTTCAACAAATTTAAAATATATAAATAATTTAAATGTTTAAACAAACAAAAAATAGTTAATAAATGTTCCAGTGGGCACAAGATATGTTCAAGGTCACTAAAACATGTATTAAAATGTAATAATTTATATTTTAAATGTCTAAAATATGTCTTGTATCTTGTTGTGTTTCATTCTCAGAATCAATTTATAAACATTGTAAATAGGATTTTTCAGAAATTTTGTGTAAAATATTTTTAAAATGTTTTGAAGTATTTCAAACAAAACATTTTTTTATAATATGCAATGAATTTTTATTTTTTTATTTTCTCAAGCCTCAGATTTAAAACCTTGTAACAGGATCTTATAGTATATTTAATTACATATTTTTGATATTTAATACAATTATAATTTTTTACTTTTTAAAATTAAATATTATTCATTATATTATTTGAAAATTAATGCTAAAATGTGACATTTTAGTCAATTTTTAGCACTATTTTTCGTCTTTATGAAGTGTCTTAGATAAACAGGAACATATAGTGCAGTCTTTATTTGTTTTTAGATAAAGGTTGATCCTCAATATAGCAAATTTCTTTTAAATGAAACTTGTGGAAAAATTGAGGCTAACTCATCAAAGAAAATCATTGTAAAGTTTATTCCAACACAAGCCATTCCTTACTATAAAAAACTTTTTTGTCTTATCCTCAACCAGGTTTTATTTTATATTTTATTTTTTTTATGGTAGTGAGCTTTTTTACTTTCATATTACATTTTGTACTTTAATAAAAATGACCAATTAAAATTTATACAATTTTTTCATACTTATAAATTTTAATTTTAAAGGAACCTTTGACAGTTGAACTGTTTGGAACCTGTGTGTCCAAAGATATTAAACCAGGTAGTTTTTAAAGATTTTTTAATACCTAAATTTTTTTTTATAGATGGCTATTTGTGACCGGAGTGCTTATTTTTTCTAACTCCCAAAAACACATAATTGAAAAAAATGTAAATAAAAGTTTCAAAGTCATTTTTCTTAATATGTCTTTAAAATTTCAAACTAACTTTATTTGAAAGAGATAGTAATGTTTTCTTCAGAACTTTAAACTTTTTTTAATTGTAAAAATACTTTTAAAAATGAAATTAGTTGATTTATAGTTATAAAAAAATGCCTATTTATTCCAATAACCTCCAATAACAGAAAATAGGATACCATTTTTTAAGTATTTTACAATGTTTGCAATTATCATAATTTGCCTATTGTTTTAAATTTTTCTTTAAGTAAATAAAGCATTTATTTTGAAATTACTAGAGGTTGACCCCCAAAACCATGACACTACCACTCTCTGCATTGTGAAAGTAGATATTAAAAGGTACACTATACAAAAACAATATCAAACAGTTTCAACATAACACCCTATAATTAAAATTTCAGACAAATTTTGATTGCATTTATTATGTAATTTATTTCATGCACGCAAAAAACCTTTATACTTATTTGAAAGAGGATTTTATAATCTATTTATTTTAATTTAATTGAGTTAAAAATATTATTTAAATATTGAAAATAAATGGTCAAAGTAAAAGTAAACCTCAAAAAAAATTTTTTTCAAAAAAATCGAGAAAAAAGTAAAGCGTTTGTTGTTAAGCAGTTTATGGAATAGGGTTTACCCAGATCAACTGCTTACGATAAAATTGTAAAATTGGAGCATGGATCTCTAAAAAGAAAAGTTGGAAGTGGTTGAATCGCTAAGATAGCTACTAAAGAAAATATTCTAAAGATTGCTGCCTTTTTTTGAAAATAAGTCAGGGTGCTCCCAAAAGAAAGTATCTCAAGTTTTTAACTGTAGTCAAACTCGAATTTCCCAAGTATTAAAAACAATGACTAACATTTGAACCTTCAAAAAAAAAAAATCGCCCAGATTGTAACCATCAGCAGAAGAAATCTATGCGCCCTAAATGTCGTATATTGTACGAAAATTATAAAAACTTGGATTTTGTTATAGATGATGAAAGCTAAGCTTTTATCTTAAACAATAGCACATTAGCTGGTAATGATAGGTTTTACGCCGCTGATCCTTCTCGATGTTCTGACAAAGTAAGATACAATTTGCGTTAAAAGTACGAGGACAAGCTCTTAGTTTCTTGTTGCATTAGCCCCCTCTTTATATTCATCACAGTAAGCAGGCAATCAACCAGTACACTTATCAAGAGATACTAGAAAAAAACTTTACTTCCTCTAGTATCAGAATATTATAAAAAAGACAATGAGTTTATCTTCTGGCCTGATCTAGCTTGATCACATTGGGCAAAGTCGGTAATCGACTTATTAAAATTGAAAAAAATCAAAGTTGTACCCAAAAATATAAACCCAGCTAATGTTCCAAAAGCAAGACCAATTGAAAACCTTTATGGTGATTTAAAACAACTAGTGTACAAGAATAATTGGAGAGCTGAGAATTTGGAAGAGCTTGAAACAAGAGTTAGATATTGCTATTCAAAGATGAATAAAGAAATTTTCCTTACTCAAATAAAACATCTTTTAAAAAAACTTTATAATATTGCTAAATATGGTATTTGAAATAATTATTTTAATATATTTATAAACTACATATACGAACATATTAACAGTTGAAATATTAAATAATAAAACTTATTAGTTCTTAAAATATTAATTTTTAAACTTTGTCCAAAATTTTATTTATGAGGTTATATTATGAGGTTTTATAATTTATATTTTTATGCTTTTTTTTTTGTTTTTTGTTTTGTTGTTTTTTTATTTTTTTATATTAATTAAAAATCAAAAGTTTTTAAAATTTGTTTTATAAAAAGCACAGGCATAAAACATAGAATTGCCTTTATATCTTTAATATTTCCTTGCTAAAAGGAATTGGTAATATTAATAAAGAGACACAAGATATCAGGACTATATCCTGAAAATATGTTTTTTTGTGCCAACTGGAATGCTAATACACATGTTTCTGGTTTGCTGATAGATTGACAGTCCTTTTGTGTTACAAAATGTGGCGTATTTGATATTTTAGTTGTTTGAGGGCAAAAAAAGGTATCTAAAAAATCTGATTGTCTCACTGAAGAATGTGGAGTTCGGATATAATTGTTTTTACTACCTGAATTAAGCGAATCGTGCCAAATACTAATCTAAAAAATTTCAATTAAGCTTTGGGCATTATCAACTTTTTGAACATTAGAATGATATTTTTTTTAAATTTTTTTGTGTAAATATGTGTATTTTCTAGTATAAATCCTTTTAAAGTAAAAGCAAGTTTTGAATTTTTAATTTGTGGTACACATGAGTCAGACCAAAAAAAAAAAAAAATTTTATTTGAATATTCTAAAACTAATTACCTTAAACTACTTATGAGTATGCTCGCTCCACACACAACAGTAAATTTTATTAACTATTGAATCCATTGAACTTTGTTATCTATTGAGCTATGAACATTGAGATTAAAAAGTGATTTTTTTTAATCTAAAAAATTTGATATATTTGCTCTTAAAAGCTGAATAACATTTTCCATTTTAATATATAAAACCAATTTTCTAGATTCTCTATCATTCTTCTTTTCTTGATAGGAACATGTCTATAAAAATATGTGATGTTGAAATAGTATTTTATACTCTAAGCTGGTAAATCCTTTCTCCATATTAATTTTATTGATTTTGGTCCTTATATATAAGCAACTTATATTTAGTTTTAAGCACAGTATTAAGCACTTCTCTATGGTTATGTTGCTTATTGAATTCTTGACTTTGCACATTGTTCAGTATATAAGTCATACATTAATGACAATATCAAAACTTATTTTTTAGACATTAATTTTTGTTACTTATTATAGATTTGATATGTGGAAACTTTTTATTTCAAGTTTTTTTTTTTATGAAAACACATAAAAATAAACTTAAACTTTCATTTTTGTTTCTCTTTATTTTTCTTGAGATAAAAAAAAGTAAGTCCTGAGATAATTAAAAGCAATCTTGGTGTAAAAGACTTTTATAAAAAATCTTTAAAAAGTCATGGCAACATAAAAGTTGAAAAATTCCATCTATGGAACTTGTTTTTCAAAGTTTAATTTTAAATTTGAACCAGTTTGTTTATATATATGTATAATATATATATATATATATATATATATATTATATATATGTATAATATATAATATATATATATATATATATATATATATATATATATGTATATATATATATATATATATATGTATATATATATATATATATATATATATATATATATATATATATATATATATATATATATATATATATATATATATGTTATACATATATATATATATATGTATATATATATATATATATATATTGATAGCTGTTCTCACACAGAAGCATATTGATAACAACAGTATTTACATGTTAAGAGGAATATCTCGTCTTGCCCCTGAGGTATGTATAATATTGTATGTTTGTATGTAAATTAATATAATATGTACAGTTTTTTTAATTAAGTGATTAAAAATCTTCTGATTTTTTTATTTTTTCTTATTAATAAAGTTAGTTGTTAAAATTTATTATTTAGTATTATTATAAGTATTGTTTCAAATTTCTAACTTTTCTGTTTCAAAGTTAAACAAATTTTTTCCGATTGTTTAAAAAATAATTTTGAAATAAGAATCAAAAATGGAGTAAATTTTGCTAAGAGTAACAATTACAAATCAATAACATCGATTATTTATCTGTCAGGTCAGACAAAGCTAATTTTAAAATTAAAGTGTGTACTTTTCAGACTACGAGTACCAACAAGAAATGCATGTCTTTTAAGTTCTTTTATTTGTATATACTTTAGTAGTTGAATATCTTTTTCAAGTTTTGGCATATAACGATTAATATTTTTATCCTGTATTTATATTACCTAGATTAACATCTGTTTTACACAAATAATATTTAAAGTATAATAGTTGTGAGAGTCTTATGAAAGAACTTGGCTATTTTTGTAGCAGTAAACTTGTTTTTTTTTGCAATCTGGTAAAATTGAGTTGATTTGCCCCATGCATACATTTCAAAAACACATGAGAAAATAAATTTTTACTATTAAACTATAAGATGAACCACAGGTCTTGAAAGTACCATCATGTAAAGAATTTTTTTTGTACTGTAACTCTTTACTTTATTATAGACATTGTGTTATACAATATTTTAGAAATCATCAAAGATTTATTGGAATTTTAATATCTTTTGATTTCAGCTAAAAAGTTTTTCAGACAGTTTTGTAAAAAGTTTTATAATTTGTAAGCTAATTGTTTTTTTTATATTTTTTGTTAAATGCTTTATGCATATACTTGTTCATATCGTTTATGTATCTAAATGCTTTATGATTAGGCTACTATTTCTTTTGAATTCTTTTGAATTGTAACTAACTTTAAATACTTTTCTGTTTAAGGAAAAATCTTTACTCAAACTTTTCAGAGTTGGTGCACAAAAGATTGAATAAAAATAAGATTAAAGCTTGAAATCAACACTAACTATTGTAAAAAGTAAATCAGCGTATAAAACAGTTTATCATTAAAACAGTATCATTGTAAAAAAAAAAACATATTTGAAAGCAGTATAATCATAAGTCAATATCATAATTAAAGCTGTTATACTTGATTTCAAATCTCTTTTTTTTCCTTTTTAACTAAGTTGAATGCTAAATATAAGTCAGTATTTTTTATTTTTTATATATATCTTGAAAATATATGTAAATTTGGAAAAAAATGAGCAAGAAATGGTAAAAATTTACAACACTGTTTATGAGTTTTTTAAAAGTTATCTTTAGTTTTAAAACTTCATCTTTGCATCTTTTTCACATTGATAATAATTTCATTTATCGTAGAAATTACTTATAGATGGTAAAAGATTTATTCTTTCACAAAGACCTTGTAATACATTTAAAAACCTAGAACAATCGAGTTCTGACCTATTGAAATTTTTTTTTCTTATTTCATTACACTCGATTGTGTGATGTACTTTATAATAATTGGTATATTACTATATGTATATCACACACTGCATTAAAGTCAAAGCTAGAAAGATTACTTTAGAACCTTTTGATTATCGTAGTATTATTATTAAAAAATTTTGATGTCTTTGAATTTGCTGTAATTATATTTTGAGTTGTTGGAATTTTTTTGTTAATGGTGCCTACCACTGATGTCATAAGCTTGTAGTATTTTTCATCTTTAGAAGATTACAAAAGAATTTTAAATGATGGATTTAAAACTAGATTTTGATGCTTTTTATATTTTAAATTTTTTTAGAGTCTTTCAATGTTGATAGAAGAAAAAAAAATTGTTTTTGATGAAAATGGTTTATTACAAGTTAATGACATGGAAGTTGATAGCAATCTGACAAAAAATAAAAGTGTTTCATCATTTGATGAGTTTTTTAATGATGGTTCTAGTGATAGTATGGTAAGTGGTATTTGCTTGAATTTTTGTTTTAAAGTTGCATCATTATATTATCTATCTATATTTATTATTATATTTTGTATGTATTGTTTCTTAGTTTTTTTTTCTTTGCAGTTATTTAATTCTATCTCCTTTTTTTAGCCACTTTTTTTTTTCAATTTTTTGCTTTCTGATATATTTAGTGATAAATTGCGTTTACTTTAATTTACTTTTATATAAAGTTTTATAAAAAAAGTTTTATAAAAAGTTTTATATAATAATAAAAAGTTATAATTAGTTATAACATACAATGCAGTCTAGCAATTTTTTAAATTTTGTGTCAAAATTTGAAGGGCATGGTTATATCCCAATGTATATATTAAAAAGACATAATTAAGAAAGTAGTTGTTTCTTTTGCTTCACTATTCTTGTAAATGTCATCCAACAAGAAGTATATTTCTAAATAAAGAATTGCAAATGGTACTCCTGTATACAAATCTGATGACAAAGTATTGACAGAAAACAGCATAGCAAAATCAATGTTTTTAATAGATGTTCCTATTGCTCAAGAGAAAACTATGGAGTCAAATCTAGTTTATGCTTCATCCACATGAATTAAGTAGCATTTAAACATTATTATTTCTAAAAACTCTAAGAATTTACATTAAAGGTGTTTGTAACAGTTTTCTATGTTGCTGTTTTTTGTTTTTTTTAATTCACATCTCTTCAAACCTCTGGAGAGAATCAAGGAGGCTGCTTAACATTTACTGCGACAATCAAGGAGGCTGCTTAATTTTTTTTTATTTGCAACTCTCTACGCTAAACTCTAAGACACAAATTTTATTAAAAAGGTGCAGAGAAACAGGCTGAGCATTAAACTTCCAGAAACGTAAGATGGATTTGAACATTTAATCTCTTAACTGATAGCAGAGTGTTCTGCCACTTGTTTACTATCTCATTAGTTCACTCAATGCAACCGCATTGAGTGAACTAATGAGATAGTAAACAAGTGGTAATTAAAATCAATTAATAAAAAATCTTAGATGATATTTGTTATGATGACAAAGTTACTGCTAAGATAAAAAAATTTTAAGAGGACTTTAGATTTGGTTTTTGATTTTAGATTTAGTTTTTGAATTAATTTTTGTTTTGATTGATGGGGCAGCTTTATCCCATAAATTTCGGTTCTTGAACTTTTCAGTTTCAATTTTCAGTCCTGAAGATATTTTGATATACCATTGAGTAATCCTTATGTTTTACCTCAAATCATTACAAAGTTTTATATACATACATACATAAATTATTTCTATTTACAATTTAGTTAATAATTTTTTATATAATTTAACTTATTTAACTTTATCTGTTATTTCAATTTTGTAGTGTACTGTTGTTCCACATATTTCTCTTGATACTTCAAGTGTTCACTTTGGAGTTTGCAAAGAGAATTTACTTTTCCATAAGGTACATAATTATCTTTTTTTTTTTTTTTTGATAAATATTAATTATTAAATATATATATATATATATATATATATATATATATATATATATATATATATATATATATATATATATATATATATATATATATATATATATATATATATATATACATAGTAGTATATAAGTAAAAAAGTATCAATAGAGGGCGGTCAGTTAAGGATATTTCGCCGTATATATATTATAATTATCATTATAAAATATCTTTAAACAAATCAATATTGTTATAAAAAAAGTTATAAATAAAATTTAAATGTTTAAAAAATAAGAAATTCCTTATTTTTAAAAAACTTATACTTATTCAAACTTTTTTTTCTTCTTTTCTTTTTTTTTTCTCATTCCTCTTATGTTTATTTTTTTTTAAATGAGACTGCAATTGTTTATGGTTGAATTTCTTAATGATCAAAAAATAAAAACTAATAATATTTTTTAAAAATATTTTTGGCAAAATCTTTGCATACTACTCATAAACTAGTTAATTATTTCTAATCAACATTCATTGTATGATCAATTCAAAAAGTTGATGGTAAAGACAAAACTTTTGTTAAAAAGCAATTTCAAAACTGAAAAATCATTTTTTCATATACTTGTTATATAAAATTTTATAATAAATCTAATAATTTTGTTATAAAATATTTGTTATAAAATATTTTTTAATAAATCTAATAATTTTGCCTACAGGCTTGACTATGGTTTACCCAGCAATGCATTTATATACAATTATAAGTGCATCAAGCATTTTTGTATATTAGCACTTTCATAATGAAATGAAAAAAAATATATTTTAAACTATAAATTAATTTAAAAAATAGTTAAATGTAATACAAACATTTTAAAGTAACTTGAATTAAATTTATTTTAACAATTTTCTTTTTTTTAACATACTTTGAAAATTTTAGCAGTAAAAATTGTAAAACAAAGTATTTTAAAATTTTAAAAAGAATCTAAATTTATTAAAATAAATTTATTTCCTAATATTTAATAATAATTTTAATTTAAATATAATAAAATAAATTAAAAATGAATTTTTTTAAAATGTAAATGGCTTAAGGTGTAGGTGAAATTTTGTTTGCAAAATTCAAATGGCGTAATGCTTTTTAGCAAGGCCTATATATATATATATATATATATATATATATATATATATATATATATATATATATATATATATATATATATATATATATATATATATATATATATATATATATATATATATATATATATATGTATATATATATATATATATATATATATATATATATATGTATATATATATATATATATATATATATATATATATATATATATATATATATATATATATATATATATATATATATATATATATATATATATATATATATATATATATATATATATATATAGGCCTTGCTAAAAAGCATTACGCCATTTGAATTTTGCAAACAAAATTTCACCTACACCTTATATATACACACACACACACATATGTATATACATATATATATATATATATATATATATATATAATATATATATATATACATATATATATATATATATATATATATATATATATATATATATATATATATATATATATATATATATATATATATATATATATATATATATATATATATATATATATATATATATATATATATATATATATATATATATATATATATATATATATATATATATATATATGTATTTATGTATGTATTTATTCCATTATTTTCCATTCCATTAAGTTTCGGTTAAGCATAGTAATAAATCTTTTTTAGGCTTCATATTTGAAAAAAAAAGATAACTTTGCCATAAATAGAATCAAAGTTTATAATTACATTTCAAAATTTGTGAAAATGTATTTTAGGACTCATTAGATACAACTACTCATTAGATACATTAAGCTTAACACTCATATAAATACTTATAAATACTCATTATATACATTAAGCTTAACACTCCTCAATTTAAAAAGAAAAAAAGAAAAAAGGATGTTTTTAATTTGCTCTTAATGTCGTGTTTATCTCATCTCAAACAGCTAAAAAAATGGTTTAAAAATCTGAGATAAAAATAATTTTAACTCAAAAGTTGCAGTGTAGGATAACAATTAGATAAGAGAGTTTAATAGAGTTTAATAACAATTAGATAAGAGAGTTTAATAGAGTTTAATAGCATTAATGTGCAAGGAAAAGTCTAAAAGTGCGAAGAGACATACAGTAAAAAGATGCAACTTAGTCTCTCTGAGAGTTGCCACAGAGTTCAGGAAACATTACTACCAGCATGCCATTAAACTGAGTTTTACAGCTGTACTCTCATTAGGAGATAACAGGAAGAGTTGCATAGCTACTAACAAGGAGGCACAAACAAAAACCCATGAGTACAGTCAAGAAGTACGGTATTTATCATCTTAGGTAGGAAACAAGAGTTTAAAGAGTGTACTGATTTTAGTAAAAAATGACTAAATCTCACTTATATGTTTACTTATTTACTTTAGCTGTTTTTACACATGTACAAATAATGAATTTTTTGATAAAAATAATTATGTTTTTTACAATAATTATTTAAAAAAATGTTTGTTGAAATTTTTTTACCACTTTAAAAGCAATTGAAATTTTGATTAATTTACTAATAGTAAATTAATAGTAAATAAGTAATAAATTTACTAGCCCCATGGTAGAGGTATTTTAAGTCAGAGTTAATTTAGGTATCAGGACATAAAAATGGTTATTTTGAATTACATGTTACCAGAACCAGTAACCAAGACCTGCTCTAGTTGCTAAGCATTTATCCTATTGTCATAATGTTCTCTCTCACTATAAGGTTGTATTTCTCTTTTCTACAAATAGAACCACTGTCCCACCAGAACCACTGTTCAAGAAAGCTATTCTTACTTGTTCCATCAACTAAAATTCTATCTTTTGTGACTCACTATTCAGTTAATTTGCATCTTTTTGCTGTAACTTTCTTCATGTTTTTTGACTATTACAGTTTACAGTTTTATAAGTCTTCTGTCAATTGGTTTTTTACTCTTTAACTCCATTGTTTTCTGTTTTTCCCCAACATTATTGGTTGTTGCTTGCAACCTCATCAAAAGTAAATTTGTTTGTAAAAAAAAGATTTATATTTATTTATACACTTTAATGAACTTTTATATTAATATAAACATCATTATAAAATATTACTATCGTAAAATATATTTTATAATTGTATAAAAAATATTTGGCAAAAATTTTTAAAATTGAAAGTAATATATTATAGTAAATATTATTTTTTTGATAGAAGTGTGAACAGGGTTATTGGTGCTTACTAATGTTATTGGTGCTTAGTAATGGACATTTTGGTTTGATAAAGAGTATTTCCAGGTAAAAGTAGAACAAACAAAAAATAAATTTTCCAGTCACCTTATCAGATTGTCTTCTAATTTTAACCAGTGGTTACCTATCAATGAAACATAAAATGTAAAATTTAAGCTTCCAAATTCTAAAGTTAAGGCATTTTTCTACCTAAAATCATTTTTTTTATTATGGTTTTTTTAGTGGCACTTTTTTTATTTTATTTTTTTATAAGAATTTTAAGTTCTAATGGGAGAATTTGGCTTAAAATTAGTACCTGCTTATTTTTTAGGGTGCTGAATTCAAAAATAAAATAACTAAGTTTAAAATTTTTTGATTTTAAAATGGTAAAGACATTGCATACAATATTATACAATGGGTTGCGCTTTCACTAACTCTCAGAGTTGCTTAACTCTTGGAATTAAAACTTTTATCAAATGAAAGGAGGGATATTAGGTCATCTTAATGTAAAATATGGTTTTGGTCTCTTGATGCCTGATAAAGTTATGCCATTTTATATTTTTTATTTTAAATTTAGTTTTTTTTAATTTAAGGTTACATTCTTAATTATAGATTTTTGTACAGCACTTTTTCATGAATAATTCAAGTTCTAGTGGGAAAAAATGATTCAGCATTGGCACCTGATCATTTTTAAAGCTGCTTTAGTTGAAAGAGAACAATATTTTAATTTTTTTGACTATCAGCTTTTGATTTTAAAATGGTCAAAGCAATTTTTTTGTTTTGTTACCATAGGCTATTGCTTTTGATAAATCCTGGAGCTCAAATCTTATCAGTTTAAATTTTTTTTAGATGTTAGATTACCTTAATATTAAACAAAGTATAACATTGTTTAAAAGTCTAAATATAGTTGAATGATTTTTGCAGAAAAAGCTAATGAATGTTGCAGACAGGCTTGGTCAGGAAGGTGTTAGATTTCACGGATTTGTATGACCATGCAAATAATATATTGTTTTGACAATTTGACCACAGTTTTAACATTTTAGTAAAGCGCTGAAAACATAACTTAGTTATAAAGAAACTAAAAAAACAAACTTATTTTAAATAAAGAAAATAAATCTTCTTAAAAAATAATGAAAAATAAAATAAAAATAGCTTAGTAATAAATAACTAAAACAAAAACAAAAAAAAAATAAAAACAAAAATTAACTGAGATAAATATTAAACAATAAGATAATTACGTTTAAAATATTTACTTATGTTTTTATAATGTAAAACTAGTAGTGCCCGTCTGCTTTGTTACCGCACCATATAAAATTAAATTAAAAATAAAAGAAAATAATAATAATAAATAGTACTAATAGACAAAAAAATGTAAATAAACACTTTTGTTTTTATAAATACTTTATCGCGTATTAATGGTATTTTTTTAAAAAACGATTAAACTTAACAAGGAAACTTTTTTTAATGACAAAAAAATATAAATATAATTATTTAAAAAAAAAAAAATTATATTTATATTTTTTTTTTAACTTGCATTCTTGCAAAAAAATTTGTTTTATTCCAATTATATTAACTTTAATAGATAATTTTTTTATTTAATGATGAAAGAAAATTACATTGATACTTTAATGCAAAAAAATCATTAGTAGTGAATTGTTACTTTATTAATAATATAAAAACATTAGAAAGTTTAATTCAAATGGCTGTCTTTAATTCAAAAGTTTGTCTTTTTTTCTTCCTCAACAAAATCTTTTTGAGTGTATTAATTTTAACGATTCTTAAATAAAGTTTATTTAAGAGGCAATAATAAAATAAAATTTGAATAATTAATGATATTTGAATAATTAGTGATAGCATGCCTTCCTGACCAAGCCTGGTTGCAGAATGTTATAAGTTTAAAAATAGATTTTGTTTTTATCAAAATGTTGCTCAGTTTTCTCATATAGTTATTTTAATTTTAAGCCTAAAAATTGTTTTAATTAAAAAATTATTGAGTCTTATTTGGAAATTCAGAAAACAAATGTTATCTAATGACATGCATCATTGCTTAGAGTTGATTCTTTTGAAGATACTATTGAATGTGAAAAAAAAAAAGAGTGAAGAGGAGAACTGAACTAATAATAATCAATTTCAAATTGACAGATTATCGTTATCTTAAATATCTTTGAAGCATTATGCAGCTATATTAACACAGTGTTGCATTCCATTTAGTATCCAAAACAAAGCTAAAAAAGGTATTTATAGCAGCTACAACTTTTATTTCTCAAGTTTGCATTGTGAAAGTATTGAGAATTTTAATAAGATTCTTTGCACACAAGTAGGATTATACTGAAGCATCAGCACTTTTGCCGAAGGTTCGGCTTCGGCCGAAGCCAGGGTCAGTTTTTGCCGAAGCATTGGCTTTGGCAAGTTTTTTTTGGTAATTAAAGGTAATATGCTACTTTTATATTAAACATAAAACGATATAATTACTAAAATTCTACTACTTGTAATTTGTTCCTTTACTTTGATTTCTTGATGTATATGTCATACCTGCTTATCAAAATTAAAATGTATGCCTGCTTATTAAAATTAATGGGTACTTTTTTTATATTTTATTTAAGTTTTATGTTTAATTTTATTCCGCCTTTAAATTTACTAAAACCTATTTTCACTGTAACTTGTATTTAGTTTTTTTGCGCTTGAAATAGCAGCATGCTGCAATAATTGTATGCATACTAAAACACTTTAAAAGCGCTACAAAAGGTAAGAGCAGACAAATCAGAGATCACACCAATCAGCTGGAATCAAAATTGTTCTTAATGAACTAAAAACTGATTTTAAAAATTATTTTCATTAATACAAAGATAATGTTCGTCTGAAAATTGCTATAATTCTCAAACCCCGTTTCAAACGAAATTTTTTAAAGAAACAGATCATAGCAAGTTTACTTATGGTACTACCGCTTTTATTTAGAGTATCAATACTCTAAATGAAAGCAGTAATATCCTTAATATAAATTTTGCTTGCTTGTTGTGAATGATCATTTACAACAAGCAAAAAAAGTTAACTTCATTAAAGACTCGTGATGTTCCAATCAAAAAAAGAAAGCATAGGCATATACAGCTTCTTAGACTAAATGGGTATAAATAAAAATGCTTCACAGAAATGTAAAAAAACTGATGGAGGGGGAAAAAAGTATAATAATAAAAATTCTAGAGGAAAAACTCAAAATTTAAAAGGAAAATCTTATGAATAAAAAAAATATCTAAATAAAATTGTATTTTTTTTTATTTATTACAAATTTAATTAAAAATTGATGTTAATTTTCAAGTTAATTATTATGTTGCATTCAGCCCTGTTAAAAAAAATTTATTTACAGGTTTTTTTTGCACACCAGAATTGTTGTAGACAAAATTATATTATATTTATATAATAGAAAGATTACTGCTAGCAGGCACAAACTATATGCAGGCAGGCTGTGTCTTCCTGTAGTGATGGGTCTATTTGCATTTAATATTTTTAATTTTCCATTCAAAACATACTTATTTATCAACTATAAATGTTTATAAGTTGATTAATAGTATTCTTTTTTCCGTACTTGATTAAAGATTTAAAATATTAGTTTAAACTTTAAATTGATTCATAGTTTTGATTCAACATGGACAAAGTCAACTTCAACTTTAGCCTACCAACATTATTAAAAAATAAATGCCCTTATAAGTGGTGGGGTGTTTACAATTACACCTGCTCCGATAAAGACACTAAAAAGTTGGATTTGGTAAGGTGAAAATTTTGTGTGCTCCCAGCTAGCACAAAACGTTCAAAGAACGTTGCGAACGTTCAAAGAACGTTGCGAACGTTCAAAGAACGTTGCGAACGTTCAAAGAATGTTGCAAACGTTCAAAGAATGTTGCAAATGTTCAAGAACGTTGCGAACATTCAAGAACATTCTATGAACGTTCATAGAATGTGCTTGAACCTTCACAACGTTCGTCAAACGTTCTTGAACGTTTTGTGTTAGCTGGGCTCCTTTATCCGTTAGCAGTGAGCCTCTGTTCAACACAACAGGACACATATTTTAAGATAAAAAAAACAGGCTGTTACCTGAACATGGAGAAAAGAATACATTTTAAACTATAGTTTGCCTGATTTTTTATAGATAATTAATTTAAACGTAATAAACTAATTAGTATAATAAAAACAACTTCCTTCGTTTATTATTGTAGTTTCTAAATGGTGATTTTATTATAATCCAAAGTACAAACTAATGTAAACTAAACATTGTTTATAATATAACTTTAGAGTTTAGACTTGATTAAGTTGACGAGAAGCCAAATTAGTTTTATAATTCACACCCTAATTCAATTTCTAATTTGTAATTAGTAATAACTAGTTAGCTAGTCATCTTTATTTTCAAGTAACATTCAATTTGTTCAATTGCTATTGCTACATCCTAAATAATAAAAAATAAATATATGTGTGTGTATATGTATATTTATGTGTATGTGTATGTATTTCTATATATCTATATCTATCTATATATATGTATGTGTGTGTATATATATATATATATATATATATATATATATATATATATATATATATATATATATATATATATATATATATATATACATACATATATATATATATATATATATATATATATATATATATATATATATATATATATATATATATATATATATATATATATATATATATATATATATATATATATATATATATATTGTTTTATTTTAGTCAGTATGTGTTAGGAATCATACTCATGGTAAAGTGATATGTGTTTGGATGAATGGTAAAAACCTTTTTTTTAAAAATTTTTACTTTTTAACTTTTTTTTTTTAACAAAAGTTTAAACATTTTTTATTTAAATTTTAGATGAAAGGAATCATTTTTTTGTATCTCCAGCTGAAAATGAAATTGCCCCAATGAGTAGTTCATCATTTAAAATAACTTTCAAACCTGTAATTGTTTTTTATTCTTTCTTTATAATAATTTTTTGAGTTGTTAATTTTTTATTTTTTTCTATTTTCTATTCCTTTTTATATTTCACTCCATATAATATAGTTCTATTTTCTTTCTCCTTTAAAAAACTCCTTTGAATTTTAAAATTATAAATTGGATCTATTAATAAACTATGAAAACATTTGTAACAAAAATAGTTTTAAAAAAAGTAAAAAACTGTAAAAATAAGTAGGTATGAGAGGCATTTCATTTGTTAATACGCACTAGCTAACTTATGGTATGAAAAATATGTAACTGATTCACGAAATAAATAACTTTAACTATATTGCAACATGTTATGTGTATAGCATATGTTACGTGTTTTAATTAAATATACTCTAACACATCAGTTATACGTACTTGCATAATGTAACCAAGATTCATCACAGTTATACATACAGTGCATTACTATATATGTTTTTGCTGTTGATATACCAGGTAATACAAAATACGTTTGACCATATATGTTTTAGCTGTTGATATACAAGGTAATACAAAATATGTAAAATCTTAGGTTATACATATTTTGTATAATCTTGTAAATCAAAGATTATGCAAAATTAATGATAACCAATTAAATACTTTATTTTTCAGTTTTTTTATTTATATTAAAAAAGAGATAAAGGAAATGTAAGTAAGAAGTACATAGTACAAATCTAACATGTTCCTTGATCATCAAGATTGTTTTGAAGTTATAGGATTGACAGAAAAATGTAATAACTGAACAAAAAAAAATTAAGTGGCTTCTTTATATTTTATTGGGGTTTGGAAGGTAAATATATTCAAACAAAAAATACCATAAACATTCTGTGATGCCAAATGACATATGATTTCATATGACATATATAAGTTCATATGACACATGAGCTCGTATGATATATAAGTTCATATGACATATATGAGTTCTTATGACATATATGAGTTCATATGACATATATGAGTTCATATAACATATATGAGTTCATGTGACATATATGAGTTTATAGGCTGGAAAACAAGACTCTGATAAGCACTTTTTAAAGAAATCCCTAAGTGCTCCTAACATATGATCTCATATGAAAGAGCATTAAAAAAAATATGTAAGTTTTTTTTCTTTTTCACTAAATTGTAATAATAAATGCATGCTAACAAAAAGCAATTGCCGAAATCACTAAAAAACAACTCCATTTTAATTTTATTTTTTAGTACGTCATTTTGATTTTATTTTTTAGTACGTTAGTACGTCACAACAACTTTAGAATATCTACTTCGATTTTCAAGTAAAAAAAATCGTGATTAAATAGATCAAGTTTTTTTAATTAGTTTTGCAAAAACAGTATAATAGCATTCGGTTGAAAGACGTCATTAAAAAAAAGTTATTAAGTAATAGTTTTAAATAGTTTAGAACTTATAAAAAAATCTTACAGGGCTCGTATTAAGCGTATCGCGATCGCGATTGCTACACACACTTTTGTAATTAGTTTTTTCTTAAATCTTTTCGCAACATTTTTTTTTTGGTTGATTATTATTTTTTTTTTTGAGCTTAGCATTTTTTTAGCAATTCTTAAAAGTAATGTTTTTATCATAAAGAACGTCACACAAAATTTATTATTCTGAATAGATAGATGAATAGATGATTTGCTCTTTCGCGCAGAGATTTTCTTTCAACGTAAAACATTTTTGAATTTAAATTACTTTAAATCTCTGCGTGGAAAATTTTTACAAGGTCGTTTAAGCGAAAAGTTGAAAAGTTGTTTTTAATCTTGTTTATCAAAACTTCATGTTTAAAATAAGGCTCACAAACGTTAGAGCAAAAAAATTACTGATTTTTATTTGCATTTTTATACTGTTTGAAAAAAAAAACTAATAAAAAAGAATTAATTGTTGTTATTATTAATTAAAATATTATTAGTTAATTCTTTTTTATTAGTTTTTTTTTTCAAACAGTATAAAAATGCTAATAAAAACCAGCAATTTTTTTATTTTAACGTTTTTAAGCCTTATTTTAAACATGAAGTATAATTCGATTGATTAAACCAAATTTTTTTGTTTCATCTTTTATTGGAAAACTTGAAATAGAAAAATTGAATAAAAACATCAACCATTTAAATGAAAAACTTAATTATATTTAAACTTTTATTAGTCCTTTATTCAAGAAACAATAAATTAAAAAAACGTGGTATCTAATTTTTTATTAAGTTTTTGACGATGTTTTTTGATTTATTGACGATAATTTTTTCCGCGCGAGCTATAAAAGAGAAGGGGGGGGGGGAGAGCAAAAAAATTTTTTTTTTTTGCTCTTTTGCGATTAGATTTTTTTGCGTTAATTCAAGCCCTGTCTTAGTTTAATTTCTAATAAAATGTCTATTCAACCTTATCAATTTGAATCAAAAAAATATAGCAATTTAACATAAATGTTAATTTAACTAAAACATTTTACAATAATTATTTTTTTTATCAAGCAAAAATGAGAGTAACCGTCACTTTTGAAGCCATAAAAATTACCGAAAAAAATTTATTTTTCTACTAAGGAAATATTTTAAATAAACTTTCATGTGTCTAAGTCAATATTCATTTGTTTTTAACTGACTAAAAAGGGTTTAAAATTTGACTTCTATTCATTTTTAGCCGTGGAATTGCCCTTATAACACAAATATATAAATTAATATTATAAAAAAAACTTTAATATACAAATATATTTAACAAAATGCTACAAAACTTATTCTTGTAAGTAATTATGAGTTAGTTGAAAAAAAACGACTTTACTTTTAAATTTAATTACCAACTAATAAGTTTGCAATAATGACATTTTGTCTACTTTGTTTAATTTGACGTACAAACGTTAGTTTTTTGAGGCAATAGAGTCAATAAACTTTGGACAAGACGCTATTTTTTTAATCGAAGAAAAGCGTTTTTTTGAAAATTAAATTTGTTAGTGTGTGTTCATTATTACGTTTTAGAAAAAATAATATACATCAAACATTTTTTTTTTTTTTATGCTCTTTCATATGAGATCATATCTTTATAGCACTTAGGGATCCCTTTAACTAGTTTTGAAAGTATAGACCAGGGGTGTGGAGTCGTAAAAAAAAGAAAATGACTCCGACTCCAGTTGTTGAAATTTTTTGAGTAAACTCCGAATTTAACTCCAGTTGTTGAAATTTTTTGAGTACAACTCCGTGTCCAACTCCAAAGCAAAATTTTTGAAAAATTTATTGAATTCTTTAAAAATATTGCACGATAAGTTGAAATTTTTTTTTGACAAATTTATGCAACGTTCTTTGAGGTTTAGTATGAACATAAGGTTAATTGAATGTTTTGTACATGCACGTGCAATACCAAGAAATATTACTATCGGAGTGGGAGTTGCGATATTTTTTAGTGACTTTGACTTTGCTAAAATTGTCGCAACTCCGACTGCACAGCCTTGGTATAGACGAAAGCTCCGGAGAGCACTTATGCAAGAAGTTGAGGTAACAAAATTTGAAACATGCAAGAGAGGAGAAATGATAGATTTACCTTTATTATAAACACTGTTAAAGATTAGTTTTTGAGAAAAAATATGAATTTTTATTTTTGTGACCTAAAAGTGGGCTTGGGCATTAGACAAAACCTCTTTACAATGGTTTCTCGCAATAGTCAACTGACTGTTTTCTGGAGAATTGTTTTGCTGATAGATATGGAAGTAATGCTTTCAATTGGAAATTGCAGCAGCACAATGGAGAGGAAAACCATGGAGAAAAGTGAGGCTTGATTTGGAATTGTCTAGGGGGAATATGCCAGCCTGAATGCATAAAGTTACATAATAAGCACAATTTTCAGTAGGAAGACAAAAGATTTCTACCCTAGGGCTATCACAAAGAAAATCACTGAAAGAGTGTCAGTCAGCTTTAAGGTAGTTGTAAAAGGTACAATGATAAGGGGATTTTTATGATAAAGAATGAGATAATTGTTTTAGAGAGATCAAAATGTGATTAGAGTTACCTAAGGGTGAATGTGGTGAAACTAAGCACTGACTAGGATCAGAAATAAGACAAGTTAAGTAGAGACGGTAAGTTATTCGATTTGTCTAGAAAGCAAGTTGGAAAATTGACTATTTGCGTTAGAGATTGAGAAAGGCAAAAGTTGTGGACCTTAACACTTGCAATATCACTGACACTAGAACCAAGCCATTAAGTGTGATGGTTATTAAAGTCATCAACATTTATATTGGCTGAAGGATAAAGAGAAAGGGGTTGGTCAATTTAATCAGAAATAACATAAGAATTTATTATAGAAATAGCATTCATGTATTTTGTTTAACAACATAATCATAAACTTCACAACGGTTTTTCCTGTTTTACTCTATTTTGTTATAATTTAAAGTGTCAATGATGCAACAGTTGAGAATAATATAAGTAATTTTAAACTTTGTCAAAGATGAATTGAATTATCTTATTTTAAATTTATTGGCAATAAAGTGATTTTTGTAGCTAAAATAAAAACACAGTTTTAAATAGGAATCTTTTTAAAAAAACATTTTATATAGTTATTTCAAGTCCTGGTAAAAAAAAATTTTATTTATGTTATGTTTCTCTAATACTTGATCAAAGTATGAACTCAAAAGCTCTAATTTTTTTTTAAGATTAGAAACGAAAATATAAAAACTTTTTATTTAGGTATTTTTACAAGTAAATTTTATTATAAAAATTGTTTTTCTATTTTAATTAAATGATTAAAAATAATTTGGAATCAAATTTTTCATTAAAATAGTTTTGCAAAAAGGTCAAGCTTAAATAAACAAACAAAAAATTTAATAAAGTATTTATAAAGTAATTAAAAGTTGAAGTATTGAAAAATTTAAAAAAGCATTAAAAAATTTGGTTTATATTATCTTATAATAATTTTATATGCTGCTTTGTTTAAGCTCAACATCAAAAAATGCAAGGTTATGCACATCAACCCATACAATTTTTTGCCACAGGTTCACTCAATGAACAAGTATTATGTCAACAGTAAAGTCAATAGAACCGAACTTGAGTTGACAACATCCAAAAAAGACCTAGGTGTTTAAATTACCAACAACTTAAAGCATAAGCCAAAATCGTTGTCACCAAGCCCAATAATGTCCTTGGAATCTTAAAAAACACTTTCATCAGCAGAGACACCTAATTAAAGAAAAAGCTTTACACTACCTATATACTCCTACATCTGGAATTCGCAGTTACCGCCTGGTGTTCATACCACGAAAAAAATATAAATACCATAGAACACATCCAACATCGGTCTATCAAAGTACCAAACAAAATAAAGTACTTCAACTACATCAAACTCAGACTCATCTATTACTTGATAGCCATATATGTAGAGACCTCATCCAAAAATACAAAATTGTGAACAACATTAACTCAGTTAGCTGGCATGTTGGTCCAGTCAACCTTCGGTCACAAGCGCTTTCATCGTGAAATGGACAACAATTATCTTGTTCCATTTAACTTTTTTAACAACTGCGTTGCTCACCCATGGAATGTACTACCAAATGAAATTGTCAGTGCTCATAGCGTCAACTGCTTTAAAACACTGCTTTGATCAGTTATTAACATAATTACAGCTCATCATCTTCCGTGCAATTATGCTCAAGCCAGCTCGGCTAGATGTTGATGAGCTTATGGAACGCGCCTGTTCCATGCAATATAATTTAACACATTTATTATTACTTCAGTTTGTTTTTAACACTACTGAAGTAATTGAAACTAACAATTTAAAAATTACTTCACAAAACACTAGATAATTTGTATTTTAAAAACCACCAATTGGTACAATCTTATATCAAAAAACTGCTTTGCATTCAAGTTTTTTTAAAAGTGGAGATATAAAATAGTTAAAAATGTTCTAATATTAAATTTTAATTTACAAGATATTATAAATATAGTATATGAAAGAAAAAATATAATAGTTTATTATGTTAATAAATTTTTTTTTTCTAATTTTTTAATTATACTGACTTTATAGGTTACTTACTACAAAATTTTAATTAGGTTTTTTTGTTTACCAATCATTTTAACTGCATTTTATTTTCGATTTTTTTAACTTTTTCATAGGATGTCCCAAATAAAATGTTTAGTGCTGAGCTTGAAGCTTTTGTATTCTATAAGGTAAATTTGTTATTCTATTTTTTTTTAACATGCATGGTTTAAAAGTGTATTTATCTTTTTTGTTTTGGTACTATCTAAAAAAAAGTGTTTTCCTTACTCATTTTGTGAAAAATAAATAGAAAATACCTGTTGTTCATTAAAAATATTACTTCTATGACTGAGGCAATGATATTTTAAAATTTGTGTAAGTTCTCGATTCACATTAAATACTGAGCATTCTTTTAGAATGTTCCTGAACTGCTAGAAATTCGTATTAAATGCTGAGCATTCTTTTAGAATGATCCTGAACTGCTCGGAATTTCTAAGAAATTTCTGGAAACTTCCAGATTCTTCTAAAATGTTCTCGTCTTATCCAAAAAATATTATCAAATTTAAATGCTGAACTTATGAATTCAAAATGTTTAACCTTTTTCAACTTTTTGAACCTTGACTTCCACATTCCACTCTGATGACTATGGGATCATCAAAGATTTTAAAATAGTGTCATCCTTATTGGTCTTCAAGTAGCTATCATAAAATTTTAGTGTGTTCTTTGCCTCTGAGACAGCAATGACAAAGGTAAAAAGTGCTATTACCAACACTGCACATTAAGTGAGGCCTCATTGTACAATTATTCACTGCTCTCAACACCTATTTCCTGCTCTCAACATCATCATTGGCACCTTAAAAGCACCTCTAAGATCTTTTTTCGAAGCTGTTTGAGGCTAAGGTTAGAGCTTGTATCCTCGTTAGAAAACAAATAAAGAAAATCATAGAATGTGGTAAGTTCACCAAGCTCCTGAACTAGACAATTAAAACTGCTTGGAACATTTGTGTTGCTGTTATGGCTTCCTGGGTAATCAAAAAGTTGAAAACAAAGTAGAGTTCAGGTTCTCATGAAGAGTTCCCGCCAAAACGGGATGCAGGTTATCATCTATATTAATTATCATGCTATATCAAGTCTATATCTTTGTTGCTTGTATTAATAATTATATAGTGAACATGAGAGCTTACCCAGAGGAGCAAGGTGAGCGCTTTTCAAGGTCAGTTTAATAGAAACATGATGGAGTACTACATTTGGGGGTGCTTCATTAAAGTGATTATTGTTTTTTACTAAACCAAATGAACAAATATATAAATTTTTTCTCGTTCTGTCTCAATAATTTTTTTTGTTTGTGCTCAACATTTTCCCACAGTTTTAATTTGTAAGCAATTAAAACACTTTGAATCCAAGGACAATAATATTGTTTTTTGATGTAACTTAAGAGGTTCCAATTTTGTTTTTCACAATTTGATCAGGTTAACATACTTTTGAAAAACTGTTGTTTTATCTTTTTCACTTAACTATTTAGAGTATGAGAGATCAAAGTCTAGTAAATGACTGTACAATTACAGTACCTTGGTGTCTTACAGTTGTAATCACTGGACATACCTTTGGAAGAAATAGTGAGTTTTATCTGCCTGTATGCAATTGGTCTTCTAAAACAATGGTTTTTCCCCCAGCCAGTTCACTTGAGGAATCAGTTTACAGAACCTGTCTTTTACAAAATAATGGTTACAATCCTATTCATTGTGCATTTACTCGTGATGACACGTGTGTTTTTAGTAGTAAACCTGATACTTGTTTAATTCGAGAAAAGTTCCAGATATTTGTATATCGAATGTCACCATTAAATTGCGGAGTTACAAAATTTCAACCTACGTGCACTCTTAATTTTTCTGAAAAATGTGATTTTGATCTTACTATGACAACTGAAACTGTGAATATTATATTTACTGAAGGAGATCTTCTTTACTTTATGCCAACATGTGTTGGGCACTCATCATATCAGAATGTGCAGATTCAAAATTGTTCTCGAGTCCCAATAAAGTTTGTTTTTTTGTTTTTTTATCTTTTAAATATAATTATATGTTACAAATAATAATAGTGATTTTATTTTGCTTTGATATTTTTGAAATTAGTATATATATATATATTACTAAGGAAGAGCAGGGGTCTTTACTTTCCCTTTTTTTTATTGGGCTAGTTGGCTTTATTTTGAGTTTTTAGGCTTTGTGTCCTTCTATGATTTTTTTTTTTTTTTTGTAAATGTTTAAATGTAGTTTTGAAGAATTTGACTGTATCAAACAAATAATAAAATGAGGAGCTCATCTGGGGCCTTTCTGAGGAATTCTTTAAGTGCAATATTTTTGCTCTGAAAATATTTTAGATACATTTTTGTTCATCATGAATAATAATGTTTTAGTGAGTTTAAATTTCTTTAAAAATTTATCAATAAATGTATAAAATGAATAAAAACATCAGACATGTTATCTAAACATGCTGATGTTTATATAGGTGATAATTGTCTTAAACTTTTGTCTTATACTTATACTTTTTACTAAAGATCACCTTTATATAGATTTAAAATCATTTGCTGACTTTAAATTTGTTTGAGTAGGATATAAACCCTGTTATATTGGCAAAACTACGAAATTTTTAATTATTCTTATTGTAAATATAGGAAGTTTGTTATGAATTTTATCGCTTTTATGTTTATTTTCACAATTGTATACCATACTTTGTACAATTTTTAAGAAATTTACTTTTTACTAAAGTTATAATTGATGATGGTTATATGTATTTTAAACATGTCTTAAGATAATAAGAAAATGTTTTTAAATAAAATAGTTTATATATTTTGTGAAACTATAACAAAACCTGAAAGCTTTGAAGTTAAATGTGTTTTTGTAATTTACCCTTATATTAAACTTGTCTCGTTCACCTCTACTGTTAGATTATTATACTGTTTTTGTAAGTCACAATAAATAAAATAAAAACTATTTATTTTAATTTTTGTATTGGTATTTAATTTAGGCTTCAGTGGAAAATTTCTAAAAGTGATCAACATATTTTGTCAGTTAGAGAACAGTATAAAATTATTTTTCCAAATGAAGTGCAGGTAGTTTTTCAACTTGTTTTTTTTTAATTTCATTTTTTTATTAACATTATCAAAAACTTATATGAGGGAGTTTTAATTAAAAAGAGATGTAATGGTCAAGAAAGTATGTAAATTAGTTTTTGTTTAACAAAGTAAGCAAACTAAAATGAAAAACAGGAAAAATAGTAATTATACTAAATTATAACTTGTATTTATTTATTAAATTAAATACTATATTTACTAAGGGTGAAATGCAAGTAGCAAACTTGAGTGAAGTTTGACTTAAACTTTGAAATTTTCTGACTTTGTCAAGTTAGACTGACTTTATCAAGTTAAACTTGAGCAAATGCCTAAACGAAACTTGAAAATTTTGGACTGTGCTTAAGGAAAGTCAAACTAGAAAAACTTGAAAGGCATTGATTTGAAGACGTAATCGGAAAAAAATCTTTGCAATTTTTGTGAAAAATCTTGCATATTTTTGAAGGGAAAACCTTTTAAATAAATCAAATTAACTATATATTTTAAAGTTATATATATATATATATATATATATATATATATATATATATACATATATATATATATATATATATATATATATATATATATATATATATATATATATCTGAGTTTTATACTTTGAAATATTAACTTACAAAATAAATTAAAAGGTGTTACAAAAACAACATTTTTTAATTATTTATTTTATTTTTATAAAATCTTGGTAATTTGATAAAAACACTGAATTTAATTAAATATGCTTGTGTTGCCATTTAGTCTTAAGTTCTAACTACGATGTAACAGCTGCTTAACATATAAATGGCATTTATGCTATGCCATTATCAGCAAAGCATATATGTGGTATAAAAGGTTGTTAATATTCATTTTTTTCTTGTTAACTTTTTATAAAAAATTTACTAAAAACATATATTTCTTTCTTGCTCTTAATGTATAGTATTTTACAATATCAATATTATTATATACCAAATGACCAAATGAGTCACTGAAGTTAGTAAGGTCTTCTGAAATTATCAGACAACTTGAAGTACCAGAAAAAACAAAAAAAATAACAAAAGTAACACGACATTAAAATGAAAATTAACAAAAAATATTGCTAATGTTACATATTAATACAATGATTTTAATAAACACAATTTTAAGGGTTTTATTAGAGCATTTCTGTTATTAGAATGCATTTGTTGTTATATGAATGTTATTTTTATTTCACAAGATAATCTTTTTTTTTTAAAGATAGAGTTCTTTATTTAGTTTATCAATAAAAAAGATTTTCTTAGTTGATACTTTTTGATTACTAAGGTTTTTATTCTTTGATAAGTTAAATAGTTATAAAAAGAATTGAGTCAATATTTTAATTTTTTTTTGTTTCTTCTACAAAACTTCTCATAGGTGCTTCAGAACTATATTCCTCATTATAATTTTACATTTCATTGTATACCCAAAGATTATTTTGTTAAAAGGCAATGTTGTGAAGCAAAGCAAGATACAATAATGTCTATAAAATTCTTTGGTTTTATTTAAATGCTGATGAGCTTCTAAAATTTGTTTAATGGCTGAGTTGGTAAAAACTGGTGACTCTTGAAACATCTAACCATTGTATCTAGCATTCGATACAATTCTGCATTTTCTCCCTCAGTACTTGTTATAGGACTGTTATAGACTGTTGTATATATGTATGTATATATATATATATATATATATATATATATATATATATATATATATATATATATATATATATATATATATATATATATATATATATATATATGTATATATATATATATATATATATATATATATATATATATATATATATATATATATACATACATATACATTAATTATATATATGTATATATATAGTTAATGTATATATATATACATATATATATATAATTGTATATAAATTAATAATTATATATATATATATATATATATATATATATTTATATATATATACATATACATTAATTGTATATATGTATATATATAGTTAATGTATATATATATGCATATATATATAATTGTATATAAATTAATAATTATATATATATATATATATATATATATATATATATATATATATATATATATATATATATATATAATAACTTTTTTGCACAAGTTAAATAAAACAATTGAGAAGTAAGACAACTTATTTTCTTTTAATAATAAAAAATCTTGTGTTGGGTTAAAAAAAACATTTAATTTTATATACAAATATTATAAGGTAATAAAACATAAAATACAATTATTTATTAATTACAACAATATAGGCAATAGCAAAATATACAATAGAAAGTTATTAAATTATATAACAAAAGGTTAACGACTAATAAAATGGTAATTATGTGAAAGTAATGTTTTATAATCATTTGACTGTTTTATTTTGGATTTTTCCATTCAATGAACAAACTTTCCTTAATCTTAAGCTCGAATTTATTGGAGGCCTGGAATCCAATATTGAGAAACAGCCATTATTGTAATTATTAAAACAACTATTGTTCGCATGGACATGTTTGTATATGTGTGAGTTTTTGTCTCTCCTGTAGTGTGCAATCATTCATGTTTTGAGGTACCAAGAAGTCTCACCTATATAACAGGAGTTACATCTTGCGCATACAAATTTATAAAGAACGGATGATTTGAATTCTACAGGAAAAGTGTTCTTTAATAAACACATAGTAGAAATTTTCAAGCAGGTAAAAGTTAAATTAAAGTTTACAGGTATACAATGTTTTTCAATGATAGAGTTCAAACTTTTTTCGGTTTGATCAGTTAGACCAACATAAGGAAGTGTAGAGTAGTTTTTCATGACTTCTTGGTTTTTAGATTCATGTTGGTTGGTAGAAATAGTTTTTTTGGTAAGATTTGGTAAGATTTGGTAAAAATTTTTTTATACTATATAAATACATTTCACCACTACAAATGCTGTTGTACTGAGTGAATTACAAATAATGATTTATTTGTAATTCACTCATGAAATGAGTAAATTGACAAATATATTTCCAAAATTATTTTGAAACTAGAAAATTCTTTTCACCACGTGTTTACAAAATGATAGTTTGTTTATTTCAAGTTTTCTTTCAAGAAAAGTGTGTACTGAATTTCAAAAAACAATTTAAAATCTGATTTTTCATAAATAAATTCATTTTAAGTTTATTTCTTGCATAATACTTTAGTCAGGCTTCAAATTTAATGTATAACTTGAAATTTCAAGTTTGCTTCTTGCATTCGGAAAAGATTTTTACTTTCTCAAGTAAGCTTTTAATATAAGTCTAACATGTATAGCTTGAGTTTAAGTTCTCTCTTTGCAATTGTTTAAGTCAAATTTCAGATTTGAAGTATAACTTCAAATTTCAAGCTTGCTTCTTGCGTTTCACCTTAAGACAGTAATATATTATTTACATTATCACTTTAAAAACAATTATCTAATAACGTAATACTAATTTCCAAAAATAAATGAAATGTTGTAAAAAGTATAAAAACCAGATAAATTATTTAAACAACTTGATGATTTATTTAGTATTTATTTAGTATTTATTTAGTACTATTGAAAAAAACATTTTTATAATAGATTCTTAAAAGTAGGCATGTTGGAGAAACTGACTACCTCAGTGAAATTAAACTGATGAACAACAATGTTTAAAAAGTTAATGAAAATTGTAACATTTCAATAATCATTAAAATTTTTACTTCTCGTTATTAGAGGAGACTTTATTAAACAGTTTAAAATTGATAGAGCTTATAATGTAACAAGTTTCTTTGTGCCTCAAACTCTCTTAATTACCCAGACAAAACAGAACATGTCATAAAAGTCATAACTATCAACTCACCAAACAACAAACTAATTGTTGCAAATTGAGGCAATATTTTTTAGCAAACAAAGTTTTTTGATCATGAAATGCTCCTTTACAAAATAGCAATAAGCATAAATAAATTTAAAGATGATGCAATAAGCATAAATAAGTTTAAAGATCATGCAATAAGCATAAATAAGTTTAAAGACTTTTTAATATAACTAATTGATTTATAATATAACTTAAATGATGCCTTGTGGCATCATGAAGCTATCATTACAGGGAAGCTTGGTGTTTCTTCTCTTTATCAAAAAAATTAAATAAACTCAAACTAATAATAACATTTGCTAATATTTTTCTAATAATTGGAATAGTCTTTGTAATTTTTACATTTAAATGAAAAAAATGAGAAATTTAGAAACTAAATCAATACATGCGACCCAAAAAAAAAAAAAGATTTTCCATTTAATTTTATTTAGAGACAGTTTCCAGTTAAACCTGCCTTTGCTATGACTATCAATAAGTCACAAAAGCAAACAATAGAGTTGGTATATATCTACCTGAATCCATGTTTAGGCTAACTCTTTATGACATTCTCATAACTAACATCAAGAGAAAGAATCAAAATACTTTTTAAATATGGTTTAAGTTTAAATTATTCAAAGACTCTGATATCTATTTTACTTGTGTTACTTATGTAATTATTATGAATTTCAATAATAATAATTGAAATGCAATAATATATGTCTATAAAATAGAAAATAATTACAGCTAACTTAAGCTTATACTAATTCTTCTCGCAATGGTTACCTTGGTACCATGGTACCATGGGTTACCTTACTAGTTATGCAATAAATATCTAGAAAATAATTTGATTTTAAATAAAAAACCTGGATTGAAGAATCAAAACAGCAGTCCATACTCTTAAAAACATTGTGTTAAAACAATGCAAGCTTGTGTGCTTTGCAGCACAAACATTTTGTCATATATGCACTAGTGATGTGCCAGGTACCCGATTTGGACCTGGGGACCCGGTAATTCTGCTGTTTTCCCGTGTACCCAGAATCAGCCATTTTTCCCGGGTATTTTAAAAGAGATTTTTAATAAACATTTACCTTAAATGCTGTAACTACATGTTTAATGGTACTTTGAATTGTGTCGAAATATTATTAACAGGATACAGAGCTTTTAGTTTTAACTTCTAACAAACTTCTTGATAAGTCTAAGAGTGTTAAACAGTCAATAACCACAAAGCCCTATTTACTCAATTAAAATATTTTTATTTATTTTATTCACACTACACTCGAGAAGGTCTATTATTTTTTTTAATTTATTTTGCAATTCTCTGTCTCTCTTATTCTTTTATTTTCTGTAACATAACTTTTGATTAATCAGCGCATATAAGCGATTATTTAGCAATAAATTACAAAAAAGTATAAATTATATATAATGCCATATAACACCACCATACCACAATTATAAAAAAAAAAATTAGTTTTTTTTTATAATTCCGGAACAGAATTTTTTGAGTTAATTTTAATTTTAAAGCTCTCTTGATAGTTTTGCCATTAAGAATGTAAGACGGCAAGTTAGGGATTGTCCATTAAGTATGTATGCTTGGATGCGGGAGAGGGGGTCTGCAAATGGCGTATATGAGATAAGGGCAGGGGTTAACTATTAAGGATATATTAACTATAAAAGGATATAAAAAGTAATTTAAATAGGATATATTGAATTATATTTTGAAAATTTACTGAAATTTTTTTAGTTTATAAAGTTTTACACTGGCATTGGCATTATCATTCATAAACCTTTTCAAAGAAAAGAGGAGAGGAGGCTAAACTCAGAAAATATCCTAAATTACAGTCTAAAATATGTCAACATCATTTTAAGGTTTTAATATTTCTTGATGGAAGTGTTAAAAAACTGCACTGTATACACTACATTTAAGAAATCTCTTCAAATAATTTATGTGTTTTAGTGGTGGCAACAAAACCAGGCAGTTTATAAACTAATTCTTGGAAAAAAAATAGTGAGAGCTTGTAGTTGTTTTGGATATTCAGGAATAAATACAAAAAAAGTCTTGAAGAAACAATTTAAATGACTGAAGTACCAAAAACTATAAAACACAATAAGCCATTGTAATCTTTAAGTTCTCTAAATCAATAATTCACTAATGTTCTTGGTCTTCGAAGTAACCTTTCTTCTGTTGAGTCTTATCTCTTGCTAAGTTCACCAGACCAGCTTGCTATTGGTGAGACTAATATGATTTCAGTTGTCTCATCTTATGATCTTAGTGTTGATGGTTATCCTCCTTTAATTTGTAAAGACTCCAATTGTCACATGCTAGACCTGAGCATTTACATTTGTTCTAATTCACTCTTTTGTTTGAAAACTAGGTTTGAATCCACCGACTAATCTTTTATGTACTTTTGTTGAGCACTTTACTCTATCACCTTTCTCTTTGTTCTATATTGCTCTCTTTTATCTTAAGATTATTTTGATGGGCTTAATTTTAATGGGCTTTATAGGCTTTTTTGGCAAGAGATTAAATTTTATTGCGGGTTGTTGACATCATTTTGCAGGTTGTTTCTTTTTTCACCCTACTGGTGGCATTATCCCACTATTTCTGGATGTCTTACAAAGATTTCTATTAGCTATTGCCAAACAATCTTTAATTTTGCATTCTTCAGGATAATTTGAATGAATCACATCTTTAGAAACAATTTTCACGTTATTATCTTTGCACCACTGTATAACTTTTTTAGAATAGTGAGAAGCAGCAAGATTGGGCCAAATAAGACATTAGTATTTGGTTTTTTTCATAAATAGTAAAAGTCTTTTTTGAAGCCATCCTTTGATGTAGAGATCTTTAGACACCTTAGACAAGGTCTTCTTATCATTAGACAAGGTCTTCTTAGTGACAAACAAGAGGACTGCATACCACACAAATTAATTTACTTATTTTGATGTTATTTCTGATCAATTTGACCGAGTCCTTGCTTTCTATCCTTCAGCCAAGATAATTGTTGTTGGTGACTATAATGCGCATCACATTTTCCATACATTTTGAATCATTCACCTTCTCTACTCAATTTATGTCTTGTTTCTGATCCTAGTCAGTGCTCAGTTTCTCCACATTCATCCTTAAGAGCTTCTATACATGGTTTGACCTCTCTAAAACTATTATATCATTCTTCTTTATCATCAGTATTCCCCTATACCTCTTTACAACCACCTTAAATATATATATTTAAGGTGGTTACAACCACCTTAAATCTGACTGGGACTTTTACAGTGAATTTCTTCGTGATGACTCTTGGGTAGAAAGTTTTTTTTTTTTTTTATTGTTAGTTTAAACCTTATTTAATAAAGTTGTAATTAACAATTAATTTGTAAACAAGCAATTTTAAAAATTATAAAATTAATAATTTAAGATTTATTATAAAATTTAAATAACATAAAAAACATATATCTCATTAATATAAACAACAACAGCAGTAAAAAAATTAGATAATTAAAAATCTGTAAAATAATTAAATAATTAAAAGTTCTCTCAACGTTAGAAAATGGAGGTAGAACCCTATTATTCTAATGTTACGATGTGCTGTTTCAGTTTAAGTAACATAGAAATTATAGCAGTAGTCAGGCATGAGTAGAGTCGGGTAAAAAATGTCTGAGACATTTTTTACCCAACAAACCAAAAGCCATGCTATCTTTTTTGCCAAACAATTATTGATAGTATAAAAACCATTTGTGTGTGTATATATGCATATGTGTATATATATATATATATATATATATATATATATATATATATATATATATATATATATATATATATATATATATATATATTGTAAAGACAAACTTTATAGCAAATTAAAAGTTCTTCAAAGATATTATATGACATTTTAAAAAGTTTATGGTGTTATTTCAAATTGATTTTCCAACAGTTCCTTCCTTTAATGGTACCTTTGAAAGGATCTTCATAAGATTTTGCATATTTTTATTTAAAAAGATGTTTTGGTACTGCCACCACTATATACAAAGTCATCAAGCTTGATGTGTTTAAAATAAATTACCAATTGCCAACTGATCAAATACACCTTGGTACAGCAATCAAATTCAGATTATGCCCTAAAGATGTACAGAGGTTACACAATTACAAAATTACACAATTTTAAAAAAGATTGCATTACTATTCTGGTTAAATTGTCAAAGTACTGCAAGAAAGTTGTTTCTTGCATTACATGGTAGTTTAAAATGCATCATATCTATCACCATTTAATATGGTTGATAGCAAAATTGTTGTTATGTGATTTGTGCAGTTGTATGAGTCTAAGTTGATATCAGCCCAAACATCTGATTCTGCTGAAGTTCAGGTATAAAACTTAACAAAATATGTTGTAACAATCAATATGAAAGTGCTTTTATAACAAATTTTTGATGTCTCATTTAAAAGAGAACAAACAGTTTGAATTTTTAAGGAAAACTTTTTATCCTAATTCAATTTATCTCATAATTGTTGTACTGTCTAGCAAATTTTAGTGTCAAAGAGTTTTTTTGTTGAGAACATGTACCTTTTTGATTATAGCTTATTGTATATTGTCACAGAACTTTAACAAAACAGGTTGATATGTGGAATATTTGGATTAACATTTTGTTCTGTATTTATTAAGAATGCATAAAAATGAAAGCGCATTACTGAAGAAATTAGTGGCATAAAGAAAATTTTTAAAGATAAAATTTTTTAAATTTTCAATATCCTTTAAAGAGGAAATTGAAGATTTTACCATTCAAGCAGTATCTAATTCTATATATTTGTTAATTTTAAGTATCTAATTCTATGTATTTGTTAGATGCCTATGCAAAATGGTTGCACAATATTAAAATGGTTAACTTTTTCCTTAATTTGCATACTAGAATTTTTAATTGTGAGATAGTAGTTTATCATTTTTAAATTTTAAATTTTCTCTTTGATTAAAAAAACTTCTTAATTAAGATGTTTGCATTGAAAAGTTTTATGTCTAGTTTAAAACTATATTTATAAAAAACCTTGACAGGGTGTAAAAAACGCATTTAAAAACTACTTAATTGGTACCCAAGTAAGGTATACACTAAACTGATTTTTTTAGTATTTGTAATTATTTTTAGAATCATGTATGGACCTTTACACCTGTTGTTGTACTTAAACATTTATTTAAAGTGAAATTACTGGCTTCTATTGAAAATTTTTAGTAAGTTTTTTTTTTTAAATTTAATTTTTGAGTTTTTTTTTTTTTCTTTTAATTTCATTTTTTCTTTTAATTTTCTTATTTAATCATATTCAGTTCTGTAAGAAAATTATGCAAAACAGTTGTATATAATAACTGAACAGGGCTAATAATTGATTGTGACTTGGTTTAATTGTATTTTATTAGTTTCTAAATACTGATGTAGTAGCAATCCAAAAACTTTTCTTGTGAAGAAGAAATGTTGACTTAAAAAATTGAATAATAACCTCATTTATTTTTATTAATATCTATTAATTAATAAAAAATATTGTTTATATATATATATATATATATATATATATATATATATATATATATATATATATATATATATATATATATATATACATACACAGTATTGGACAAAAAATTTGCAACCAACATCAAACAATGCTAAAAAGTGTTCCTAATTTTACATGTCTTAAAAACGAAACGAACTATACTACCACAGCAAACAGTTCAGGAGTCTAGAATCATAGCATGCCATGACATGAGCAATCAGTTGACAGGTGACAGCACACAGGCATAATTTTGTTGACAAGTGCCATTTTGCAGCGGACAAAACAAGTGCAACTTTTTTGGTTTGTTTTATTTTCTTAAGTCTGGTCTGTGTAAACATCACGGAAGTTTTTTAATAATTAAAGGAAGTATCCAGAAGTTTTCAGTAGCATGCAGAAGTTCCCAGAAGAAGCATCTGGAAGCATTCAGAAGTATCCAGTGACTTTAAGTGCAAAAAAGGCTCCCTACAATCTTGGATTGGAACTAAGAAAGAAAATTATTGGCGATTACGTAAGTGGAATGTCACAAAAAAGTATTTATGATAAATATTGCATGAAAAAATGGACTGTATCAAGACTATGTGCCAAATATCGTTCTACGGGGAAGTTGGCAGCAGATAACAAAGGTGGAAGACCGCGTTCCACCACTTCTAGAGAGAATTCTTTGATAATCAGATCTGTCAAGAAGGATCCCTGGATATCATCAGTCGAGATAAAAAAGCAATTAAAGCTGCCTGTATCGGACCAAACAATCAGACAACGTGCTGTTGAAGCCGGATTGTTTTCTTGACGCTCTGCAAAGAAACTGCTGATTTCATTAAAGAACCAGAAAAAAAGACTCCTGTTTGCTACATCTCATATTGACTGGAATGTGCAGAAATGACGAACTGTCCTGTTCAGCGATGAATCAAAGTTTATTATCATTGGGAGCGATGGCATTTGCCGTGTACGTAGACAAGCCGGAAAACGCCTCGATTTACATTACTGCCATAAGACCATGAAGCATGGTGGAGGCAATGTAATGGACTGTGGGTGTTTTTCTGCTAATGGTCTAGGTTCAATACATCAAATCGATGGAATAATGGATCGTTTCATGTATAAAAATATCTTGAAATATGTTATGTTACCTCATGCTGAATGGAATATGCCAATAAAATGTGTTTTTCAGCAAGACAATGATCTGAAACACACTGCAAAAGTAGTCAAGCAGTGGTTTCAAGACAACCACCTATCAGTGATGAATTGGCCGTCTAAATCTCTGGATCTAAACCCTATTGAGAACCTGTGGGAGGTCGTCAACCGCAGAATTAATTGTGAAGGTGTTCATAATAAGGATCAACTGTTTGAACAAATCCAAAAGGCCTGGGCAGTGATTCCATAAAGTTTCATTGATCACCTGATCGAATCTATGCCTAGAAGATGCAAGGCTGTGATCGACAACAAAGGGTTTCCCATGAAATATTGATAGCGAAATACAGCTTGGTCAACATTTTGTGGAGTTGCACTTGTTTTTTCAGAAGGAAATCAACTTTTTTAAATACTTTTGATTAATTTATCAATTTTCGTGTACAATTAATGAACTTTGTGATGAATAAAACTTGAAGAACGTTGTCTCTAAACAGTTACATAGTTATTTCTCTAAATTGAAAAAATGCAGCACTTTTATATAAAGAAACTAAATTAGCATTATTTGCTAATTTAGTTTCTTGTTTTGTTTGTTAGTTGCACTTGTTTTGTCCAATACTATATATATATATATATATATATATATATATATATATATATATATATATATATATATATATATATATATATATATATATATATATATATATATCTGCGGCCATTGGTCAATTTATGATGCAAAATTTGTCATTTAAAGATAAGTATGCAGTTTTGTTATATTTCATTAGATAAACTATGATTGCTGTATTTTATACAGAAATATCTATTGCTGATTCAAATTTTCAAATTTTTCTTTTGCAAAATATCATATTTGCACTCATCATAAATTGCCGATAAACCAATAGCCGCAAATATATATATATATATATATATATATATATATATATATATATATATATATATATATATATATATATATATATAAAATCATTTATAATATTGTATACTCAAAAGAGTGCTCAATAGATAAACTAGAGCTACATAATATATATGATACTGTTACCCGCAGTAACAGGAATTAGCTAAATGCTTATGTTTATAATGTAGTTTAATATTGCAACTCTGAGTTTCATGTATTACCACAATCATCAGGCAAGTAGTAAAAGTTTAATTTTGCTTTGATTTGTTTAGTGGGTGTTACAGTTTATATTTGTATTTTAGATCATTATGGGATGGAAATTGTTTAGTAGTTAGGTTAATAATATTATTAGTTTGTTTTTAGTTAGCTAATATTTGTGAAATATATAATAATATTTTTGTTTTTTGATTTATTTGTTTATTTTGTTAAGGTGTCACTCCATTGACTAGTTTTAAACTATATGAGTGACACCGAACCTAATTTTGTAAATTATAATAAAATTTGTAATTTTAATATTGAGGTTAAATAAATGGATTAAAAAAAAAAAAAAATAGTTATATGTTTTAATGTTGTTTAAAGTTTTCGTTTATGTGATAATGTGCCTTATTTATATATTAAAAAAATTAAAAATCAAAAATTGAAATAAAAGTATATATATTATGAAATATATTACAATGAAGTAGAGTAATATAGTTATTGTTAGTTGTTAGTTTCGTTTGTAGCGAGCTTTGTAATTTTTTAATAAGAATTTATTTTCGTTTAGGCACATTGATATAATTTCAGTTCTTTTATTTAGCAGTCCTCAGGTTTTGGATACAATATAATACCAATTTTCTCATACAGACATTTTGGGCATCTTTTAGAAATATTTGAGTAGGGGTTACAGACTTCAGAATAGAGCAGATGTAGTTTGATAGGGCAGTGGACTTATAGTATCTAATATTACTGAATGATGATTTGTGGTTGTTATATCTAGTTTTCCATTCACCTTCCGTTAATCCAATATAAACTTTGTTGGGTTGGTTTTTGGCTGTGATGATACATTTGTATATGATGTTTGTGGATTTACAGTTACCATTCAAGGGGCATTTTGCTTTGTTTCAACAATTGCATTTTGGGTCATTATTTTCAATTCTTGGGAAGATAATTTTTTTGTTGTGTTTTTTTATAACTTTTTCTATATTTTCAGTGCAATTGTAGCTTACCTTTATAGTGTTTCTGTTTAAGATTTTGTGAAGTTTGTGTGTTTTAGGGAAGTTTTTTTGAGAAAGAGCTTATTCTACACTCTAAAAGCAATGAATATCATGTTTTCTGAATTTTTTTCAAAAACAAAAAAATTTAGGTCAATATATAGATTTTTTAAATTTTACAATTTTGTACTAAACATAAGTATTTATCATGGGTGCATAATCCATGGCACGTCTCAAAATATGATTCCAAGGAAGGTCTTAAAAGCCCCAGTGTTTTTGTGGGATTTTGGACAAGCATCTGACTGATGTTTGACCCACACTAAATAGTCCACAGAATTAATATCTGGGGAATTAGAAAATTTAGCATTATTTTTTTAAAGCTAGATAAAAGCACTAGTGTTCAGTTTTTCACCTTCTTTCACAAACACATGAGGCATTTTTTGACCATAGGAGGTAATGACTGCAAAAACCATGACTTGACTAGAATGTTTTGTTTTAAAATGTCTGAAGTATTCTGGATGTTCTGGTTGCCTTTAACAATAACATTTTTCCTTCTGTTATTGAGGCATGATCCACTATAAGTTTTAAACAGAAAAGAGTTAAAGCACACACTTTCTACAACTAGGTCAAGATTAGATTGTTTCTTTTAAGTCTGCTACTTTCAGTCAGTAATCTTTATTACTTCCTTTAAATTGTGCTGTTCCACTTCCTTTTTTCTGTTCACCATTTCCACACCTGATAAATATATATATATTTTTTTGACTCTCAAAACAGTGTTTCTGTTTTTCGGTCTCCTTGGGTGCTATCCCAGCACTCAAAAATTTAATAATCTGTTTTTGTTTCCTATTTTTAATTATGTTTAAATATTTTGGTTTTTTATTTTACCGTAGTAATCTACACATCATAAGTTTTCCATAGATATCAAAAACTCATACTTAAATTGAAGTTCTTTTTTTTCAACTCATAAAAACTGAAACTTGAGTAAACTCAAAAGTTTCAATTTTAATGATTTGAATGTTTAATCAGTTTTTAAAAAGTTTATTAAGAATTATTAATTACTAAAAATAATCATTAACATTTATTTTCAATGTTTTTAATACTTTTTTCTTTATATAAATTTTACATATTTCTATTTTTATGATTTATTTTTTCTTTATATAAATTTATATATTGCTTCTTTTCGTATAGCGAAAACACTCTTAAGAAGTATAGTTTCAAAATTGTTGGTGAAAGTCAAAATGCTGAAATTATTGTAAGTTGTACGACAACTTTTTTTTTTAACTTTTTAGAAACTTTGAAAAAATTTATTTTTATTTTTAAATAATTAAACATAGAGAAATCACAGACACCATAGACAGATAAAAAAAAGAAAAATTACTGCCTTTTTAATTTTTATAAGTTTTATAAAAATTTTATGTCAAACATCAAAAACAACACAAGTTTTTAATTTATTCACTCTTAAAATTTTTTGTGCTGGTATCTTGTAAGTTTTGAGTATGTGTTTAAAAAAATATTTGACAAGACTTACTTTAGATAACTTTTCATACAAGACATTAAAATAATCCAAAAATTAGAATTTGTAAATTGATTGAAAATAGTAGGATTAAAAATATAAGCAAACTGGTAAATTCAGATTCAGTGAAACAAAAAGTACATAACCAAGGTTAGTAAATTGGTATAAAATATCAGTTGGCTTTGTCAATCCACTGAGATTACCACAATTCTTAGACAAAGATAAGGATGATCCAATATGTATCAGTGTTAAGATCTTTTAAACTGGTCTTAAATTAAAGATAACCAGAATTTGTACTACATTACTAGATTAATCTAATATGTTCAAAGAATTATATATTTTGCAAATTTGTGCAGCTATTACCAACATCAAGTTCACAACTAAACTATAATGTAAAAGTAGTTTTGAGCATTTAGTTTTATCAGAGAACCAAAATTTAGTATATATCACCCTGACACAATTTACTAAAAGCTTTTTCAATAGGGTTGGATGTAATGTCACCAAGTTTTAAAACTTGGTATAATGTACTTGAAAAAATATTTTGCTATTCAACTTTCAATAATTCAGTACATTAAAAGTCTTTTAATGAATGCGTAATGAATGTGCCATTACTTTTTTACTTTCAATAATTCAGTACATTAAAAGTCTTTTAATGAATGCGCTAATTATTTTTGATAATGAAAGCTTTTATGAATGAAGGTCATCTGGTGATTTATTGACAAATGCAATGGATCTTTTAACCTTTTACCATTGCTAACTTTCAAACATTAATAATTTTCCATACATCAATAAAGTTTTTGGCTGCAAGCAACTACTATTAAGTTGGGAGTTACTAGAAAAGAAAGAATATAGAGCAAGGAAACAGTTGACAGAAGGCTTGAAAGGTTGTAGGTTGTATAAGTCAGGAAAATATGATAATGGAAGAGAGTTCTAAAGGGTTGAAGTACAGGAAAAAAACTAGATGAATAAAGATTTTTAGAACATGCAATGACAGATACAGTAATATAATGAGATTTTGCTGCCTAGATCCAGGAAGCTACATAAGAGCCACATTAATCAGCAGCGAGAGAAAAGACATTACCCTGAAAGCTGTTGCAAAGAAAATCACAAAAAGAATCCTAGATAGTTTTAGGGTAATGTCTTTTCTCTCGCTGCTGATTAATGTGTGATGGTAAGGTAAATGCAAATAATCTCTATAAATCTTTTATCTTGTACTTCTTCGAAGAAGAAGTTTGAGATAAAAGATTTATAGAGACAATTGTATAGTCAGAACTACCTAAAGGAGAAAAAGGAGAAACTGAAGACAAACTAGGGTCAGAGATAAGACACAAATCATGGAGTGAGGTCAAATGATTAGAGTTGTCTGCAAAACAAGTCACAAAGTTAACTATCTGAGTCAGAGATTGAGAAATTATAAAGAAGTTATGGGTTTTAGTGCCGGCAGGATCAGTGGTGTTAGAGCCAACTCATTCAGTGTGATGAACATTAAAGTCACCAATAACAACAAAATTAGAAGAGAGGTAAAGAGAACAGAGATTGTTAATTTGATTAGAAATTACATCTAAAAGAGTGCAGTTTTGAGATGGATAAGGAGAATGATAAAGAATAAAAAAAAAGATAATAGAGTGAAAAGGAAGCACATAAAAGAATGGTCAAAGTATTCAAACCAGATTTCTCAACAAGTAGATAAATTGATGCATAAGTATATCCCCAATGATAAGGATTCTATTGGAGTCTGCAAATTAAAGGATAATACCCATCAATACTGAGATTTAAAGAAGGAACCTAAATTAAACTTAAATTAGTCTTACAAAGAACAAGCAAGTCTGGTGAAATTTGGTAAGATTCAATTAATGGACGGTTACTTTGCAAACCACAAATATTTGACAGTTACCCTCATAACAGCCTAAAAGTCTTTGATTAAGCGACACTCCAGTACAGCTGGAAGATTGTCAACTGCTAGAAGATTGTCAACTGCTAGGAGACTCACAACAAAATTGATGTTATGAGTCTCACACTAGTTGGTCACAGTTTTGGCATAATGTAGTCAACCAGACGAGCAGCTCTTGTCTCTGTCGCTAGAGTAGTAGGTGCTGTTTCCATTAGTTGTTGAGTGCGACAGTGTGAAAAAAGACTTGTCATCAAGGATTTTATCACAATTTTCCTTGAAAATTGTGATAAAGACGATCAATGCTGGTCTTGATTTGCTAATTCTGGCTCTCTTGTCTATCAGGTATACCCTGTTTTGTATAAGTTTTGATGTCAGTGTACTTGGCAAGAGTTTTAACGATATGTGAATGACTGCATCCAATTTTTTGACTAGTTTGCCTCATCGAAGTATAGTCATTGTGGTCAAATATGGTTTTTAGATGCTTAATCACCTTGGGCGTCATGATTTTGTTCACTGGACCACTTACATTCATTCTTTTGTGTCCAGAATCATTCTCAGCATGTTTGATTATATCATAGATCTACAGTTCTCAGTAGATCATTGAAGTGATCTACTTTTAACCTTGCAGTTTATTATTCAAGAAGAACTCGTAAATTTTTTTTCTTATCTCTTCTTGCTTGGACATCATTATTTTCTTAATTTTTATTATTTAAAAACAAGTAAATTATCTTATAAAGAATTAAATAAACTTGAAAATGGATATAAGAATGAAAAAAAAAAGTTTAGCTTGTGGCATTTAAAAGTCAGTTAAAGTTATTCTGGATTTTTAATAACCATCCTTTAGTGTTTGATTTAAAAAATTAGCATGCTGGTCTTCTTCATAAGCTTGTTTTATATAGTGTATCTGGGAAAGTTTTTGCGATAATCAAATCATTTCTTTTTAACCGCTTTATTAAAGTCATCCTCAAAGGCCAACACTCTTCTTCATTTCCAATAACTTCTGGGGTACCCCAAATTTATTAATGATCTTTCCATCAACTTTACATCTAGAGTAGCTCTTTTTGCTGATATCAACTTTATACTTGTGTCTTGACAAAAAGTCTTGTCTTTCCGATCACTTAGAACAGGCACCCAATCTTAAATCTGATTTCACTTCTGTAACAGATTGGGGCTCCCAGTGGCTTATAAGTTTAAACTCCAACAAAACTAAAACAAAAATATTTACTGCAAACAACTATCGCAATACTGTCGACATTCTTATATTAATGAATGGTAACCCTCTCACTGAGGCCAAACAATAATCCAAGAAGATGTAACATAGATGAGTTTTTTCCGGGAATTCCCGGATTTTCGGAAATTCACTTTATTTTTCCAGAAATTTCCAGATGTTTTTTTTTATTAATTTGTTTTTTATTATATTAAGGCTAAACTAAAAAAACAATGTGATAAAAAATGTGTACCGAGATGATCTGTAGCCATCCTAGTACAAATTGATGGCTTTGTTCATTTTAACTTGGTCTTGCCTCTTAATGACAATATCATCATGTTCAGCCTGCCATCTCCAAAATGATTTCCTGTTTCAAATTATGAGCACAAAATGATTTCCTGGTTCAAATTATGGGCAAAAGAAAGAAACCAGTTATAATCATTTTACAATTTCCAGTTTAAAGAAGATCGATATAAACATTCTCTCCATTACTGGCTGTTCTAAGTGAGCTTGTGGAGAAATATTTTTTTACTTAATGCAATGTAGTATTCAAGGGGGAAATCGTGTATTTTTTAGGCGACTTTACAAGCTAAAATGCTTTTTTCTGTTGGACTAAGTTAGCAAGCCTCCTTATATATCATACTGCATTAGTTTCTGATATAGTAACAAAAAAAGTAGAACTTTCAGAAATTTTTCATCCAAACAAATAAAATTATATTCTTTGTAGTTTTTAAGGGAAATCTTTTAAGAAATCAAAAAAATTCACTAATTCTCACCAAATGTGGCAAAACAAGGATAATGACTTCCAGGGAAAAAAACTCTATATGAGGTATTTTCAAATCACAAAAAAAAGTTTAAATAGTTGACCTGTAATGAATGTACTATATTTTGAAAATGTACGTAGTTTTCAAGGGAATTCTACCTGTATATATTTTACCTATATATATATATATATATATATATATATATATATATATATATATATATATATATATATATATATATATATATATATTATGTATACAGTTTTTTTGCAAAAAGATGTAAAAAACAAAGCATAGTGAAAAAAAACTTATTGCTGCTTCAAACCAAAACCTCAGTGGATGTAGCAACAACTGTCTTGCATCTTTTTCTTTTATGTACCCTGCATTTTAAGTTCCCTGCAGCTCCCTATTTCAATATGACATCAGAGTGCAAATCCAAGTATGCGTTGGCATTTGGCGATCTCAACCTAGCTGCCAACCTCATACAGATTAAGGTCGGCAAATTATTGCCAACCTTATTTTTCCTAGTTCTGAGAGCTGATATACATGTAAACACAGTTGCAATTAAAAGTTTGGAACATTTTTAAAATTTACAGAAAATTTGAAATATTTGCTTTAAAATATTGTTTTACATTGAAAATTTTGAGTATTGTTATTATATACATGCAAAATTTATCTTATAAACCACTAAATTAGTATTAGTTATAGCTTGTTGTTATTTTAGCAAAAAATGAAATAATACTTATGAGAAAAACTAATGAGTTAACAACAGAAAAATGTACTCAGATTTTTATTCTACATAAACATAAAGCTTGACCCTGACTTCTATTGCTGCAGGTTTTAATGTAACACATAGCTGCCTTATATAATGATTAAAGCAATATCAAGAAACTGGTGATTTGAAAAAATTAGAACTGGACAACCAAAAGTGACTACTCAAAGGGCAGATAATTGCATTCATTGTTATACAAAAGCATAATTTGTTTGTCAGTGCTTCTGAAATTTCAGCTGAGGTATTTCCTACTGGTGTAGTATTCTGTAGAATACATAGTATTGTGACACTAAGAAGACTTTTGTCCAAACAATTTAATTTAAATAGCCATGTTCCAGAAATTTTTGAAAAAATTTTGGAAATCTGCTGGAGTCATCTTAAAAAAGACCCTCTTATCTTCAGCTGATCTACAAGGAAATATGAGTCAGGTATGGACTTTACTTATGACTTCTGAATATTTGAGAAAGCTCATTCACTCTATGTCTACTCGCTTAGATAATTGTTTGAATGCTAAATGACATCATACCAAGTGTTAACTTCAAGTATTCAATTTATAAGACATTTACTACTGTTTCAAAAATATTATTTTTGTCAATTTTAAGGGTTATTAATAAATTTTGACAAAATAAATAAATAATTTTATGAAAATTGTATTTTTTATACAATGTTCCAAACTTTTGATTGTGACTATATACTGTGTGTGTGTGTGTGTGTGTGTGTATATATATATATATATATATATATATATATATATATATATATATATATATATATATATATATATATATATATATATATATATATATATATATATATATATATATATATATATATATATATATATCCAGATTTAACGTTGCTCCAGTGTACCTTGAAGCTGCTTGCTGGTCATTTTCCTGTTTTATCTGCACTCTTTCAACAAAACTCGCTTTGCACGAGCTGTTATTAATGATTTACAGCCAGAGGATGAGCGTTTTGGAGATGACATCTGATCATCATAAAGTCTTTTTTAAATAGTATGAACTGCTTTATGACTGAGACCAACTTTCTGGAAAATATTTCTTTGAAAAAAAGAATAAGGTTTTAGCAGGGCATCAACATTCCCTATTTTCCTTGGACTTGGATCAGTGGATTTGCCTATAACTCTATTTATGAGAGAAAATTAAATTAATCATTAAGTAAATTCAAGTAAAATATTCAAAAATAAATTGTTATAAGCCTGCTTCATATAAATATACTATTCCATAATCATAAAAACTTCATAAAGTAATCAAACGATGAAAAAATAATCATCAAATAATAATTAAAAAGTCATAAACAACAATAAGAAAGTTAGAAAATGAGATCAACTTTGAATCTCAAATCATTTTTTTGATTCGATTCGATTCAAAATTTCAAAGCTTCGCAGGGCCCTAATATATATATATATATATATATATATATATATATATATATATATATATATATATATATATATATATATATATATATATATATATATATATATATATTAGGGCCCTGCGAAGCTTCGAAATTTTGAATCGAATCGGATCAAAAAAATAATTTAAAATTTTTTTTTATTGTTTACCTCCCCAAGGCTCGAGGGGGCCACTACAGTCGAAGAGGCTACTACTTTTTATATATATATATATATATATATATATATATATATATATATATATATATATATATATACACACACACACACTTACTAAAGCTGCTGCGAGTCAGGCTATTTGTCAGTCTATGTATGTAAGCCCCCAGCAGCAGGCTATTTCAGTATGATGTCAGATTGCTTACCTTAGTTCGCAATACTGTTTGTTTATTTATATATATATATATATATATATATATATATATATATATATATATATATATATTAACTCTCTTTTTTGTAACAGTGTGATGATGAATATATTACTATGGAAAGTATAATAGTTGGAAGTAGAGAAAAGGCACAAATTGTATTAAATAATACAGGTGGTTGTAGTGTAAATGTACTTTTATCAGTTGAGGAATTTTTCAAAAATTCTGATGAATTAGTATCATCAAAAGATTTAAGTAAGTTTTTTTTAGTTTTTATTTTTGTGTTATATTTTTTACAAGTTGTAATAGTTATTTGCGATTTTTTTCTCAAAGTTACTGTAAATTAAAATGTTTTTTTTTTTAAATAACAGTAGTTTCAAAACAGTAGGGTTTCAAAAGTTCCTGTTAAAAATTTTTAATCATTTGATGTTTTTTATCATTGATTTTTTGAATTTTTGAATTATTATGCATTTAATTGTTGTGGTACTTATATTTTATGTAGCTTATGATTTATTGTACTTATGTGCTATGTTACTTTTCAACTGTCCAATGTTACTTTTGTGTTTGTTTAGTATTTCATCTTGAACAAGAGGAGTTATGGCTACACTCGCGATCAAGTAAAATGCTATCTGTTTTAATCTGCCCAAAAAGAACAGGATGGTATGAAGCAAAACTTTACTATATGTTAAAAGGAACGAATAATTTTGGTATGTGTTTAAAATTTTATAAAATTTGATATTTGTTGTGCATTATTCTGATTACTTACTTTCAAATGTTAGAAATTACAAAGTTTTTATGTACTATAACTGTTCACGCTGTGTTTCCAAATATCTTAATCAATGATATCAGAGGTGACGGTAGTGCTCAAAGCTATAGTAAAAAGTGTCTGTTAGAACTTTTTAAAATAGAAAGGTATTACAAATTTTATATTATTTTGATAATTGTTTTTTTTTTTTTTTGTTTTTTTTTTTTTTTTTTACTGTGTTCACCGCTAGGCTGTGGGAGCCAATGCTACTTATTTATTTATATATTTTTTTTATAAAAAAAGTAGTAAAAATTCTTATCTAATTTTATAGTCTTCTACAAGTTGTTTCACCATCAGAAGGCTCATCAGGAAGAATGTCTAAATATCAAAAAAGTCAAGTTATAGAAAAAAATTTTCACAGGAAGTTGGGAATTAGTGTAATTAATTATGTAATAACTGTAGTATTTTGCAACCAGGAAGTTGTATCAACTACATTAGATAATTAAAATATTAATCCTGAAAATAATTTTTTAAAATTAGGATAATTTTAGACTGGTCATTTTTTCCATTTGCTCTCAGTTAAGCCAATATATTGTTTATCAGGGTTGTTTTGCGAGGAAAAAATGCATTTGTAAATAATATTTTTTGATAAGCATTAGCCATTCATAGGGCAGTCAGTTTTTTGCTTGCAGTTACAATTTTCAGTATTTTTTTCTTTGAGAAATTCATTTTTATTAATCAATGCAAAATTATGGCCTTTTATAATTCTTTCAATATTTTTTGTACAGCTATACCTTACCTTAATAGTGTTTCTGTTAAAAATTTTGTGCAATTTATTAGAGGGAGGGAAATGTTTGTCAACTAATTTTAAAAACACTTTTCCGATATTTGTTGAAACATTTTTGCTGTACGGAGGGTTGAAATTGATTATAATGAACTATTTTAGCTAGGGAATTTAAAATGTATACAAATTTGCAAGTTTCTGCTCTGTCATAACTTCCCACTGTTTCATCAAAGCATTCGGTTTTTTCTTCCACGTCTCATTATTAAAATAAAGTTTTTCTGAAATGTTTAATTTGACAAATAGCTTGTAAAATATAAATATATATAAAATATAGTCTGTAATTTCAGAGTGGATTTTTCCAAATTCTATTGTTTTATCTAAAATTTCTGCTGTAATTGAGGGGTAAAAATCATATATATCAAATTGTATAAATGTGCATTTATTTTTATTACTAATTTACAAAACCTATTTATGACATCAGTGGTATTTTTCCACTGTTGCAAATTTAATTTTTTTCAAATAATATTATTTATTTCGTTTAATTTAATTTTACTAACGTGCCCTAGATCACTTTTTGAAGGTACTAGTAGCCTACAAGGGAGTTTATTTTGAAAATTTGGTTTATGATCTTTTAGTGTGAAAAACGCTTGCGTTGGTGCGACTAATTCAATTCTAGCTTCTAAATTAATTGTTTTAGCAATGTTTTGGCCTTCTAAATTATTTGAATTTTGTAAGTTTTTAAGGGCTTTTGCATAATTATTAGGAATATTATCGTGCAGTAATTTATGGTGATTATCTGGGGAAATTTGGTATATGTTGCTGGTTTTATCAGCTAAAACTAAAATATTAGGGTTTGATTTTATATTTCTAATTTGAGTTCCTTTTGGAAATCAATATTAATATTTCAAAATTTTATTGTTTCGATTAAGTGTAATAAATCGTTTTCAAAGTTTTCTAGATTGGGAATAAATGGTGGGATGTTTTTGTTTTGAATCCCAAATTTTCTTTTCGTTTATTTTCAATTATAATGTTTTTATTGTTTTCAGGTTCTAAGAAAAAATTGGCTTTCCAACGAATTCTTTTAATAAAGTGTTCTATTTTTTAATTAAAGAAATAGTATAACTTTTTTTGTCTGGGATTTGGATATTTTTTAGGGAATAATTAAAATTGTTAGTTTCCATGTTGATGGCGAAACAACTTGTAGAAAACTAAAAATTAGATAAGTGTTTTTACTACTTTATTATTGCTCTGTTCTTTAAGAACATTGAGCACTCTATTTGTAGAATACACTTACATAATATATATATATATATATATATATATATATATATATATATATATATATATATATATATATATATATATATATATATATATATATATATATATATATATATATATATATATAGTCCTCTATATCTAGAAATTTAAAAAAAAAAAAAAAAGAAGAGACCTTAGAAAAAAAAAGGGGGACCGTTCCCCCATAGCCTGAATATATATATATATATATATATATATATATATATATATATATATATATATGTATTTATATATTTATATATACATAAATATATATATATATTTATGTGTATATATATTTATGTATATATAAATATATATATATATATATATATATATATTTATGTATAAATAAATATATATTTATGTATATATGCATAAAATTAAGGGACAAACTTTATACATATCGTCACATTAGAATTATAGGGTTCTATCTCCCTTTTTTTATGTTGTGAGAACTTAACTTTCAATATTTATTTAATACATGCTTTACAGCTGTTATTAATTATAATTATAAGTTGTCTATGTTATCTATATTTCATTATTTAACATATTTTATATTAAACCACTTAAAAAATGATATATAATATATCATTTTTTAAGTGGTTTGTTTTTATTATTAATTATTAATGAAAACTTTGGTTGTTAAATTCTTTCAACATAAAACAAGGCAGATAAAACCCTATAATTTTCATGCGACGATATGTATACATTTATATCTCTATTTATAAACAGATACGGTAATAGCAATGGAGTGCTTGTTTTGTAGATATTATATATTATATGGTTTATGTATTGTATTTGATATTTTGTACATTATATGACTTATGTAAAACCATATTATGCACACAAAAAGGCTCATTATTGATATTATTATTTAAATAATAATAAAAAATATTACGCTTTTACAACTTAGTATCTACTTAGTTTTTTTTTTTTTCTTACAAAACATCTGTAGAAATATGTATCGGTTAGATATGCCTATTGTTTAACAATGTCTTTTAAACCGATGGTCAGCTAACTTTTTATTAACTTTTTCTTGTTTTTGCATACGGTGCAACCAAAAATGTGGATGCATTTATAAATCAGCAAGATAATTCTTTACTATTTTTATTGCATTATTTTGTTAATCCAAAATTCTGAGTTTTATGAAGACATTAAACTCAGAATTTTGGATTATTTTCAAAAATAGAAAGAGTTGCAATTGCTTTCAAAAAAAAAAAAATAACAATTATTTTTGGGCGTGGTGCAAATATGTCAACCTACAAACTTGTTGAGTTATTATTTTTTTTTTTTTTTTTTTTTTTTTTTTTTTTTTTTTTTTTTTTTTTTTTTTTTGTTTTAAAGTCTATAGAGAGAAATCTAAAATAACAAGAAATCTAAAATAACATTAAGAAATAGTCAAGAAATCTAAAATAACATTAGTTATTTTTAGGATTCATGGCTATTTTGGTCCTCAGCTTAGGGCAGATGAAATAAGAAAAATCTTTTAATGTTGTTTTATCAGAAATTAAATTTTTTGTTTTAAAATATTTATGAGTTTTTTTCTAAGTATAAGTATTAAAATTTAAGAAAAACCTACAAACTTGTTGAGTTATTACTTTTTTTTTTTTTTTTTTTTTGTTTATTTTTTTGTTTTAAAGTCTATAATTTTTAAACCTAGAGCCTTGACATATTCAACTAAACTTCTGTAGTTACAGTCAAGAAATCTTAAAATAACATTAGTTATTTTTAGATTTCTTAGAGTTTTTCCTAAGTATAAGTATTAAAATTTAAGAAATTTAGAACTTGAGCAAATTAAGAAATAAAATGAGTAGGATTCAAGGGATACCAAACATTAAAGTTCCTACTTTGGACTTGGCCTTGTAGTTTTTATTTTTACCTGTTGAGTTTAAAACTCTCATTAACTGTTTTCTTTTTTCTTTACTTTCTTTAGATTCAACTGTTTGCTGCAGTCTGAACCTGCACCAGAAGAACTGAGATACAATGCGTTTTCACGGTTTAGGTAAGTTTTGCATTTGCTTAACTAGTTTAAAGTGTTTAATAAGAAAAATGTTTGTTTTTTAAAAAATTATTCTTGTACAGTCTGAAAAAATTATTTGGCACAGTTGGAAAAAAATTATTTGGAAATCGGAATCAAAATAAATTGATGAATAATATAAAAAAAGAAATGAAACATTTTAAGCATAAAGTTATGGTTAAGAATAAGGCTAACTGAATGATGAGTTGTGAAATTACGTCAAGTGAGACAAGCAATCATAGTTAGCTTGAGTAGCAAACTTATATAGTATTTGTAGAAAAAAGAAAAAGGTGTCATCTTACAAAGATGGTACAGAACCTCAATCTTGGAAGCAAATAGGGATAACAACAATTACAGTGTAATTTTGGACTTTGTTAAAAAGAGACAGGGTCTTATTTGAAAAAACAGTTGTATTAAAATATGATTACACTATTCCATAATAAATAGTTAAGTTGATTACTAGCAGTGTTGATTACGTTGTTGAAAATAGCAAGTTTATTACTAAATTTTGTTACGTAAAAAATTTTGAATTTTAGTTCATTAACCACTGCAAGCTTTTATATGACAAGTTGTCACAGATCACATTCAAGATTAGCTGTTTGTTTTAAGCAATCAAAAACTAATGACTTTTTTTCAAGACTGGAGTATATAGTTTATCAGCAAATAGAGCCACTTTACAGTTAAGATCAATAGTAGTAATCCTTGACTTAAAATAGTAAGAATTACAATCATTTGGTTTAATCTGATGTAGAAGAATTTTTTGATAAAATTTTTAGTGAGATCAGAGGTCTGAACCGTATAAATAAAAACATAGAGAAAATGAGTACAAGGTAGAATCAGAAAAACACAAATGAGTAAGTGATACTAAAGACAAGCCATTCTGTGTGATGAACATTATGTTGGCTGAGGTATGTTGTTAATTTGATCAAAAACAACGTCAAAAGGAGTACAATCTAGGGAAAAGAGAATGAGAATGATTCCTATTAAAAACTAGGGAAAAAGGAGAATGAGAACGATTCCTTGAAAACATAACGTGGGTGGGTAAGTTGAGACAAAAAAAAGCCTGGGTTACTTGGACAACAGTAAATAAGTGACATGCATTTTCATCTGGTAAAATAAAACTCTGGTTTTTGAAAGTTATAAATGGCATGCCTTTAATTTACATACCATCTTTTTCCCACTTTTGTTGTTTACACACAAGCACATAAACATTTTGAATTCCTGCCAGACTTAGGACTATGTTATTTAACTGTTTTTATTTGATCTTGTTTTTCAATAAAAAAAAATTTTTTATTACTAATAATAAGATAAGAGTTCTAAAAGCAGAAACTTTATATTTTGTGAAATTTTATTGAAGCAATGTTGCACGAGTCTTTAGTTTTTTTTTCCTACTAAACTTTTTTTGAAGCATTTATGATTTTTTTGTGGTATTAACTTTTTTTATATTGTTTTATGATTCAATTAAAAATACTTTTTACAAAAGTCTCTGCAATTTTATTTAAGACATTAATACTAGCTACAATATGCTCACTGTTTTTGTATATATACTATAATACAGTGACAGGAATAAACACTCTAAAAATATTTCACAAAAACTAGTGTCTTTTAAATTCATTATAAAATTTTATATCTATATAAATGTTTACATTTTTGCATCAAGGTGTTCAACTCAATTTAATACTTTCAGTATGTTCTAAAAAAAAACAACAGTATTCTAATGCTGCTTAAAAATCATCAGTAATATATTATAGGTTACTTTTAAACCAACAGTAATATTCTCTTATTTTGCTTTAAAAGTAATATATACTTTTTTGTTTAGCACACAAAGAAGAATACCTAAAACAACACATGCTGTAAATTTATTAGATTTTGGATCCAATGTGCATGGAAGTGAAGATTGTATTATTAGTATTAGCCTTGAAAACAAAGGAAACTATGAAGTTGAATGGTACTAATATGTTTGCATAAAGTATATTTTTATTGGATAGTGTGATTTGTTTTTTACTAAGAATTTTGTTTTGTTTTTTAAAAAGGATAATAAAATATTCCACAGACTTTCAGTTAGATATTGAAATATGGGCTGATCCTGGTACAATTGAAGATGATGAACTACATGAGGTAATTTATTGATAAGGTTTTGCTTAAATAAAACATAATATATATCAGGTGGACACGGAAAAATCCAGTCAACTTTAAATTGAGATCTCAAACCACAAATGCTTTTTATTTCTTTTATTTTTTTTAAGTAAACATTTTTTCCTTATCTTTAATTGTGTTTATAAACTTTTGTTTACAAATCATTGAGGTGCAAAATCATTGAGAAAAATCAACTAATTGAGGTGCATAAAAAAGTTGTGAATTTTTTTTTGCAAAAATCCATTGACTTAATATGGCTTAATTGCTAAACATACAAATGTTTCAAAATCTGCAGTCATAGATATTATAAGTTTAAGACTACTCAAGGCTTCAAAAGAAAACTTGGAAGTAAAAGAAAGAAAACTTTCCATAAATTCAAAAAGGTAAAGTCGATTCTCAGTTCAATTGCAAGAAATCCGAACCAATCACAGCAAGATCTAGCAAGAATGTTCAAGACTTCGCATTCTTATATGAAAAAAGTACTTAAAAATGCTGGAGTTAAAGCATTTCATAAGAAAAATACACCTAAGAGAAGCTTAAATGGTGAAATTTGAAAAAAATTTACGCACAAAAAATTTGGTTCAAGTAATGGCGGATAAAAGTATTGCATAATTGAAGACGACAAGACGTATTGCAAGGTGGGTATTCACAACTTCCTGGTCAACAATTTTAATATGAGAACAAAGATAAACCTGTTAATGATCAATTTAAATATATTTGACAAGAAAAGTCTGCATCCAAGTCCCTTGTGTGGTAAGTAATTTGTAGTTGTGGTATGCAGTCCTCTTGTTTTGTCACTAAGAAGACCTTGACTGGCAATCTCTACATCAAAGAATGCCTTCAAAAAAAGCTTTGACCATTTATGAAAAAACACAAATATCAATCTCTTTTGGCCAGATCTTGCTGCTTCTCACTAATCTAAAAAAGTTCTGCAGTGGTGCAAAGATCATATGTGAAAATTGTTCCTAAAGATGCGAATCCTCCGAATCATCCTGAAGAGCGCAAAGTTAAAGATTTTTGGGCAATAGCTAAAAGAGTTCTTTGTAAGACAGGTGAAGTAACAGAAAATAAAAAGGATTACTTAAAAAAGTGAATTAATGCCACCAATAAGGTGAAAAAAGAAAAAATCTGCAAAATGATGGCATCAACCCGCTATAAAATTTGATCTCTTGCCAAACAGCCCATCAAGCCTTTTAAAATTAAGATGAAACCCTACTTAATGTAAACACATTTAATACAAAAAGAGATTAAATAAAAAGCGTTTATGGTTTTAGAAAAATTTTAATTTAAAGTTGACCGAATTTTTCCATGTCCGCCCAATATCATTTAAAATTACAAGTTTTTCTTTTTATACTTTGTTTTTTGTTTTTTTAATTAGTGTTGTAATCTGTATGTATGGTATGTATGTATGTTTGTATGTATGTATGTATGTATGTATGTATGTATGTATGTATGTATGTATGTATGTATCTATGTATACACATACATACATACATACATACATACATGCATGCATGCAGGCCTTATTATAAAGAAAATCACCCAGCGTCGTGTTTCTGACAACATATTTCAGTTTTATACCCAGCGTGGTGTAAAACTGAAATACGTTGTTAACAAAATAATGTGCGCTTGTCATTAAGTCATTAAGAGCTTTTGTATTGCAAATTGGTGTTGTTCACACTTAGTTGTTCACTTTAAGTTGCAAATTGGTGTTGTTCACACTTGTAAAAAAATCTATTGTTTGGTATTTTGTTGATAAATATTCATCTACTAATAAAAATTTAGTAGATATTTAATATTTTGAAACTATTATCTACAATACATTTGAAGAAAAGTTTTTAGACTTCCCAACTTCTTAATTATTTTTTGCAACTGATAGTGTTATTATTATTTTTTTTAACCTAGTTCTTATTTCTCCTTTATTTTTTTTTCTTTGTCACTATTTTGACCTATTTGTGTTCTATATATATCACTATTTTGACCTATTTGTGTTCTATATATATCACTATTTTGACCTATTTGTGTTCTATATATATCACTATTTTGACCTATTAACTTAATAATATTATTAACTTAATTTACAATGTTTATTAAGTAATAGTTTAATGTTTTAACAACTTTTTATTTATTGATTTATTTTTTAAATTATAAAATTGAATTTATTTAAAATAATTGTCCAATATTAAATGCCATTTGCATAACTGCAACTCATTTGTCATTTTAAAAAAAAATATTGTTTAATAATCCTTTCTGAAGTTATTCCAGATCATGCTGTGCGTCTAAGTGAGTGCATTTGATCTTTTTTTTTTATTCTTAAATTTGGTTGTCCCATGTTCAGTAATTTTGCTTGTTAAATTGACCATAAAGGTAAAAAATGAGCCTCATCACACATAAAAGAAATTTTTATGTGTCTAAATGATCTAATGGCTTTTAAAATAATCAAATGCTGACTTTAAAAATAATCAAATCTTTTAAAATAATCAAATGCTGACTTTTAGAATAAAAATGGACAACTTTTAATCTTTGTTCTGTGCTAATCTTTGTTCTATGTCATCATAAAATAAAATTAAAAGAGTTGTCAACTAAAATGTTAATCAAATCATAGCGTTACTTATGCGCTACAATGTATAACTTTTATTTATAGTTTTATTATTGTTTTGATCAAATTAATAATATTACTCTGCTAACTTAATCAAAAAATATTTAAAAGTAAAAGTAATTTTTAAGTTAATTTCTTTATTTAATTTTGTTCGCGTTGTTGTTACATTAATTTTGTTTGCGATGTTGATACATTAATTTTGTGCGGTGTTGCTGTTACATTAATTTTGTTTGTGTTGTTGTTACATTAATTTTGTTCATGCTGTTGTTACATTAACTTGTAAGCATTGTTGTTATATTAAATTTACACTATTAAAATGAAACTTTCCATTCATTGTTTGAACAAACGCGAGTTTTATTTAAAAAGCTTTTGTTTTATTTAAAGAAAATCTTTTACTTCAATGGAAAAAACTTGATTAAAAATATGTATATAACAATTATATGAATATATTTTTTTAACAATAGGCAAACTTTACTGTTTAATTAAACAACATTTGTCTTCAACAAAAATAATTTACCAAAAATATTTTATTCAAAATCAAGTAAATAAGTAAAAGTTTTTTCCTACCAAATTCTTGACAAGCACAATATTATACTTTTGTTACTAGATTAGCGACCTTTTTTTTATTGTGCCCAGAACTCTTAAGTATCAGTTTAGGTGGGCATTTTATTTTTTAACTGCAGCAATCACTCCCACTTTAAAATAAGGCCTGTTTATGTAAAAAAACTAAGTACAAATATAGAAGTACAATAAATTTGAAGATGTATATGTGCATATGTATGTAACTATATGATCTTAAATTTTATATGATCTATAATCTGCTTATTATTTTTTTATTACTTATTGGAGATTTTTTTTTTATTTTTATTTCAATGCAAGTCATAATTTTAATTATTTTAGATGTTCTTATTAAAAAACAAAATATTTTCCATTGAGCCTCTGTGTGGCAAAATTTATCCAAAGAAATCTCAAGTATTAAAATTCACATACCGGTATATTCTTAATTTAGATATTATACTTATGTATATTTGTGTGTCTGCAACTAAAAAGTAGAATTAAGCAGTTGTACCACTCTTTTGTATTTCTATGGTGATATTGTTGCAGTTGGATCACTCTTTTATATCTCTGTGGTGTTATTTTATTAAAAAAAGTTCAAATAATACCATATTTATATACTTTTAATTGTAGGGGGAAACTAATAACATAATAATTTAAAACTGATGTTTTAAAATGATAAACTGTTAGATTTTTGTTTGCACTTTTATAAAACTTATTAAATTAAATTATTAAATTCATTAATAATTAATAAGTTAAATGTGTGTTTTTTATATTTTACATTTTTTAAAGTTTATATTTAGTTTAATATATATATATATATATATATTATATATATATATATATATATATATATATATATATATATATATATATATATATATATATATATATATATATATATATATATAAAATTTAAAATAGTATTTAGATAAATAATAAACAAGTAAATAAAAAAAATGTTATTTGTTAATTTATTTCCTTCAACCTTTTTCAAAACTGTTTAACAGTAACAGTAAAACAGTAAAACAAGAAATAGCAAACAGCTGTTTTGAAACAGAGCTTCTAGAATTAAATTATAAATATTTATACACTTTTTGTTATACTTTGTTTGGTACACTTATGTAATTATATTTAAAATATGAAATTATAACTAAATTATATATGTTATAATTATGTTATAGTTATGTATTTATAACTAAAATAGTCTATAACTAAAATAACTAAAATATTTTGACATTAACAAATACTTTTCATTTTTTTCCATGTTGATAGTATGGGAGTATGCTGAACAGACAACCAAAAAATAGCTCAAAATGTTCGGGCAACTCTACAACAACACCATTGATGTGAATAATACTGCCCAAAACACATCTTCAATGAAAAAGTTAGAAAAAAGATCAAAGAAAATAAAAGATTTTCTATATCAAAAAAGTTTATTAAGTGTATTAAGTGACCAAGGCCCTGGTATGCTTAAAAAATGGAACTTTTAACATCAAAATAATTTATTTGAAATTCAAAATTAATTGTCAAAAAATTTTGTTACTTAAGGAATTTGTTTTTTGGTTTTATGAGACCAAATTTGCGCTTGGGAAAGATATGAAAAGTGAAAAAAAAAAATTTGAACTTTTTTTATTTTTATTGAATATGGCCTGTCATTTATATATAATAATAAATTTATGTTACAATAAATTGCTGATTTATTTAACTTTTGTCTGACTCTTTAACTAAAATTATTCAATATTAAATTAACATATTTTTTTAAATTGTAAATTGCAATTAACAGTGTTAACAGTACCACTATTAGTTGCAATTTAATCCTATTGTGTTAAAAATGACATCACGAGACAATAGGATTAAGGTTCAAGAGCTGCAATGCAGTGATTCAAAAGCTGCAGTGGCTTTTCATGATTAGGAAAAACTGTTTTTTGTTTTGTTTATTTTTTTGTTTAATTTAAAAAACTCTTGGTTCTTTCATGGCAATGTTATTTTAGAGAAATAGTGATTTATTTATAACATAAGATGAGCAGTTATATATATAATATATATAATATAAATATTTGCAGCATTCATTGTTATACAAAACTTTGTTTACAGAATATTATTATTAAAAATAAAATAAAATTACATTTATATTATATTTAAATTATTTATTATAATTACAATTAAAAACAAAAGTTAATCCATTAAAATCCAAATCCTTTTATCAGACATCTTTTTCATTATTGTAAATTTTTTTTTTCTATACTTACAAAAGCTCATAGTTTCTGTTCTAAACAGCTATTATATCTTCTTCCACCTATTAAAATTTTGAATCATGTCATATGTCATTTTTGCAGTATCGCTTTACAAAGAATATCGAAGTTTGTTTTAGCTTTTTTTTATTATTGAACTTAGATTTTTTTTAAAAAAATTTATTTTTATTTATTTGATAGCCATTCAATGATAGGCATTCATAAACTTCCTGTGTTGTTTAAGATTATTCAAGGTCGCGAGATTATGGTACAAAAATTTTGCATTTTTTTATTTATTTTGTTAACTTTAATTATTTTGATTTCGGTTCTTTATTCTTTTCATTTTTCAAGTTAAGTTGTTCTTTAATTTAAAAACTTTTTAGTTGCTATTTAAACAAAAAAAAAAATTAAAAATAGTGTTAATATTTAGTTTTTATGTTTAATTATATATTTGCTTATTTAATTATATGTTTATTTAATTATATGTTTTTTTTTTTCTTTTTCAATGTTTAGTTAAACTTGATCGGAAATACTCTTGATAATTCTGTGAATACATTGCATTTAATAACATCAAAACATACTTTTGCTCCTACATCTATCAGTTGTGAGATTCCTTTTGCTCAGATGTATACTTTGTATAACCCTACTGACAACAAATTAAAGTTTACATTTGATTGCTCTAATCTTAATATACTACAAGAGGTTTGGAAACTAATGTTTTTATTTAATATTTTTACAGTACAAAAATAACATTTTTATCAAGTTTCCAATATTTTTAAATTTCAGGAAAATTATAACTGTAAGATTTTGGAGTGCTTAACACCAATGGGGGAGATATTTCCCCATCAATCGTTTGATACCTTGTGGATATTTTCACCTATAGAAACTAAAGAATACAAAGTATTTTTTATTATATATACATAATACATTTTTATATTATATATTTTTATCACATTAATTATAGTTTTACTTAATCTTAAATAAAATATATATATACATATATATATACTTTATTTATATATATATATATATATATATATATATATATATATATATATATATATATATATATATATATATATATATATATACATATATACATATATACATATATACATATATACATATATACATATATACATATATACATATATACATATATATATATATATATATATATATATATATATATATATATATATATATATATATATATATATATATATATATATATAAAGTATATATATATATAAAGTATATATATATAAAATATATATATATATATATATATAAAGTATATATATATATATATATATATATATAAAGTATATATATATAAAATATATATATATATATATATATATATATATATATATGTATGTATGTATGTATATATATGTATATATATACATATATATATGTATATATATATACTATCTATATATATATATATATATATATATATATATATATATATATATATATATATATATATATATATATATATATATATATATATATATATATATATAACACACACACACACACATATATATTAGTTTTATATATATGTGTGTATTATATACTCTTTTTTTTTTGCAGCTTTATTATAAGATTAGCCAAATATTTTAACAACCTCTTAAGGTGCTACATGTTGTATTTGGTGTAAAAGCGTGTAATAAAATTACATTTATATTATATTTAAAATTGGTGTAAGTGTGGCCATGATGCAGTGGTTTGAGCGCCTGCTTTATAAGCAGGAGATCTAGGTTCGAAACGAGCTTTGGACATATTTTGCGCCACAGTAAGAAAGGAGACATGAACTTTCTGGTTTAACCAGTTAAATGTACCTTGGCATGATTTGGAATGCTCAGTAGCACCAGAACTGGCCCATTTTCCTTTTTTACTATTTTTCTGGTGCTCAATATATCTTGATATAATTTCTTAAAATTATATATTAAAATAAAAACAATTTTCTTAAAATATATATTAATATAAAAATAAATATATATTTTTTCAAAAAAATTTATACACAGCCTTGTTTATTAAATATATATATATATATACATATATATATATACATATATATATATATATATATATATATATATATATATATATATATATATATATATATATATATATATATATATATATATATATATATATACACACACATAGTCTTGCATGGTAGTCACTAAGTTTTTCCCATAAACTTTTGTTTTAAAGAGCGCGTTAATAAGCCTGACCAGAAAATGTTAAAAAACTTCAAACTTCATTTTTAAATGATAGACTGCCTGCTCAAACCAAACCCTCAGTCGATGTAGCAGCACTCCCTTGCGAGTCAGGCTATTTGTCAGTCGATGTAGCAGCACTCCTTTGCAAGTCAGGCTATTTGTCAGTCGATGTAGCAGAACTCTGTTGCGAGTCAGGCTATAAGATAGTCAATGTAGCAACACTCCCTTGTAGCAGCAGGCTATAAGATAGTTGATGTAGTAACATTTGCGCATGTTTTAAAAATGTTTTTTAATTAAACAAAAACACCACTAATTAAAAAAAACTTTCTAGTCATTATTATTGCGGTTTTTTTAAAAAACAATAAAATTTTATGTACTTCCGCATTAATTTAATTGCTTTGACATTTCGAAGACAATAAAATGCAGCTTAAGAGACAAGGTAAAAAAATTGTAGTCGAAACAGACTTTTTTTTACCATAAAAGTCTCTCTCTCTCTCTCTCTCTCTCTCTCTCTCTCTCTCTCTCTCTCTCTCTCTATATATATATATATATATATATATATATATATATATATATATATATATATATATATATATATATATATATATATATATATATATATGTATATATATATATATATATATATACATGTATATATGTGTGTGTGTATATTTACATATATATATATATATATATGTATATATATATATATATATATATATATATATATATATATATATATATATATATATATATATATATATTTAATAAATACGCCTAATAAGTAAGTTATGTAAGTCTCCAAAGAGTCAAAATCCTAATAAATCTTACAAGAATATTTTTAGATTTTTTTTTTTTTTTTTTTGCTATTTTATGATTTTTGTTTTAAGCTAAATATAAAGTTTAAAGAGATTTTTTTATTTAATTTTTTATACTAAATATTGAACCTATTTTTTAATTAATCAAACAATTTTTAAACTAATTCTTTGTTCTAATTAGACATACATAAGTCTTCTTTCATTATAAAAAGGCTTTTTAAGTAGAATAAAAAAAGATTTTGTGAGTTTATAAATGAGTAAATTCTCACATGCCTTCCTATAACAATCACAAATTCTAAGAAACTAAATAGGAAACAGTAAAATCAGTTAAACAAAGAAATGAGAATTTATTTATTACTAGTTTTTGCTTTGTTTAGCTTCATTATACAAGTTTAGTCTGTTTGTGTTTAGGGGAGGATAAAATTGAGCTAAGTAGGTGTTCTGAGATGTCATCATGGTATCCTGATGTGTAAAATTTCATTGTTTCGCACAAAAAAAATATTAATTCTATAAACAATTTTTTATTTGAAAAAAAAAATTTTAGTTATGACGCATTTTTCTGTTGTTTTTTTTTTATTTTTTCAAAACTTTTTCATGACTTCTTTTAATATCAAAGGATTCAGTTAGTTCTGAGTTAATAAAATTCAAAACAAGAAGTTTTTTTATTAAAGGTTGATGTGCCACTAAATATTCAAGGTGGCAACAGTTCAATTATATCATTTTTTGGTGTGGGGTGTGATCATGATCTTTCTAAAGCAATTGAAGATGACAAATGCAGATTTTTTTCTAATCGAGTCATTACTTTACCAGATGAGGTCAATTTTTTTTTTTTTTTTTAAATATAGTATTAAAATATATTTTTGATATATTTTAATACTATAAAATATATTTTTAAATATAGTATTAAAATATATTTTTAATACTCTAACATTTTTAATTTTTCTGATTCATTTTTTGTTTCAGTTGGTGAGAATATCGACAGATATTCTAGATTTTGGTAACATACCTTTATTTACTGAATCCAGTCGGCTAGTATTTTTGACCAGCATTTCAGAAAACGATAATGTCTTTTTTAACTGGAAAGTGAACCAGGTTATTTCCCTGTTTTAATTAGTAAATTACTTTTCCTAGTCAATTGTTTGTTTTTTGTTTTGTTTTTATTTTTTGCATGGCATTAGTCAGTTGCTTAGTCATTGTAATTAAAGTGCAAACATAATGGTTTTTGATAACTCACAATGTTTGTATTTTCAACAGTTTTGCAGGTTGTTTATTTAGTTAATAAAAATTTTACTTTATTTTAGAATATCATTTCAATTTTCCCCTCTCATGGAGTTATAAAACCAAAAAACCAAGTATTGTGTAGAGTGAGTTTAAAATTTTAATAAATTATATTCTGATTATTACATCGTTAGTTGTTTGTTATATTGTTATTGTATTTTAAATTGTTCTACTCCATGTTTCACCTTTTTTTTTAATGTTTAAAATATATCAATTGTTAATGATTTAATTATTTTTAATATATATATATATATATATATATATATATATATATATATATATATATATATATATATATATATATATATATATATTATTATTATTATTATTATTATTATTATTATTATTATTATTATTATTATTATTATATTAGTTGTTAATGTGTTCTAGTTAATATTTTTCATATTATTTGTCAACTTAGGTAACTATAAATGCTCAAGGGATTCCTTGTATGTACAGTGTTAATGTCTTGTGTGAGGTAAAGTTTCTTCTTCTTGTTGTGGTCATAAATAATTAATTTAACAATTAATTAAGTCTTTTAATTTCTTTTTTAATATATTATTATGATAATTCTTGCTTTTCTGTTTGTTTTTTATCATTTGTAAAAAAAGTTTGGTGTTTTATTAGATAACAAATAAAACACACATGGATAAGTTCATTAAAGAACACTCACTTTGGTCTGCGCGTTTAGAAGAAAAAAAGCATCTCTTTACAATTTATGATATGGATTCATCTAAAAATACTCTGCATGCAAGTCATTCCACTAAAATTTCTAAGTAATTTTTCATTATATTTTTAAGTTAAAGTACTTCTTATCCACTAGCAATTATGAAGATAGCTCCTAGATTTGAACTAAATAGCATTTGTAAAAATGGTTAACCATTTACAAAATCATGCTTTATACCTGGTTTAAATTTATTTATGTGATAAATTGTTTTGTGTTTTGAAATTTTTGTTCATTGTATAAAATTTTAGTGAAAGTTTCTTGTGTTTTGAATTTTTTTCTGAAAAATGTTACTTAATATGTTGACTATGAGTTACTTTTTCATGAGCAAAGTAAAGTTTTTAATAAAAAAAATTTTAAAGTAAAGTTTCACACATTTCGAGGTTTTTGAATAAGACAAATGAGTAAGTCATTTTCATTGCTCTGTTGAGGACTTTCTGTGAAAAATGAAGAAATAATCTTTTTTTGATTATGTTGCTTTTTTTTCAATAGATATATTTTGCTATATTTTTTTTAAATTCATGATGAATTAAAAAGTTATGTTTACTATGTTATTGTTATGATTAAGTAAAATATTTTATTACATATTCATATTTATACATATAGAGTATTTTAGAACACCTCCAATGAATGATGATTCTGAACCATCGCCTCCAAAATTGTTGTTTGTTCATCTTTTTGTGTATGTCAATACACATTTTACAAATATTTTTCATGATGATACTGAAGACATTTTTTTTATTAATAGGTAATTTTATTTTGATCCATGATATTGAATTGTGTTTTATTATAATTTTATTATAGTTAATTATTATTTGAATATATATCTTTTTATTATTTTGTTAAATAAACCATTAAAACTTTGATTAGTTTCTCCATTTTTTATTATTTTTAAGAAATTTTGGCTTAATTTTAAAACTAACACCCTGTAAATAAAATTTCGGACATATTTTAATTGCATTCATTATGTAATTTATTTCATGCATGCAAAAAACCTTTATACTTATTTGAAAGAGGATTTTATAATCTATATAAATTTGATTTAATTAAGTTAAAAATATTATTTAAATATTGAAAATAAAATGGTCAAAGTAAAGGACCTCCAAAAAATGATGGAAATTTTTTTCCAAAAAAATCGAGAAAAAGGTAAAGCATTTGTTGCTAAGCAGTTTATGGAATGGGGTTTACCCAGATCAACTGCTTACGATAAAATCGTAAAATTGGAGAATGGATCTCTAAAAAGAAAAGTTGGAAGTGGTCGAATCGCTAAGGTAGCTACTTAAGAAAATATTCCAAAGATTGCTGTTTTTTTTTGAAAATAAGTCAGGGTGCTCCCCAAGAAAGTAGCTCAAGTTTTTAACTCTAGTCAAACTCGAATTTCCCAAGTAATAAAAGCAATGACTAACATTCGAACTTTAAAAAAAAACAAATCGTCCAGATCGTAGCCATCAGCAGAAGTAAGCTATGCGTCCTAAATGTCATAAATTGTACGAAAATTATAAAAACTTGGATTTTGTTATGGATGATGAAAACTATTATACCTTAATGTACAATAGTACATTAGCTGGTAATGATAGGTTTTATGTCGGTGATCCTTCTCAATGTTCTGATGAAGTAAGATTTTACAATTTGCGTAAAAAGTACAAGGACAAGCTCTTAGTTTCTTGTTGCATCAGCCCACATGGAATAAGCCCTCTTTATATTCATCACAGTAAGCAGGCAATCAACCAGTAAACTCATAAAGAGATGCTAGAAAAAACTTTACTTCCTCTAGTATCAGAATATTATAAAAAAGACAATGAGTTTATCTTCTGGCTCAATCACATTACGCGAAGTCAGTCATCGACTTTTTGAAATTGAAAAAAATCAAAGTCATATCCAAAGATATAAACCCAGCTAACGTTCAAGAAGCCAGACCAATTGAAAACTTTTGGAGTGATTTAAAACGGTTAGTGTACAAGAATAATTGGAGAGCTAAGAATTTAGAAGAGCTTGAAACAAGAGTTAGATATTGCTATTCAAAGATGAATAAAGAAATTTTCCTTGCTCAAATAAAACATCTTTCAAAAAAACTTTATAATATTGCTAAATATGGTATTTGAAATAATTATTTTAATATATTTATAAACTACATATGCAAACATATTAACAGTTGAAATATTAAATAATAAAACTTATTGGTTCTTAAAATATTAATTTTTAAACTTTATCCAAAATTTTATTTATGAGGTTTAGTATCTTTAACTTTAAACAAAGAAAAAAGACAGTAAACTGATACAAATAGCTAATTACATCATCCTGGTCATGACTCTAAACTGATCATATATTGAGGCTTCCTAGCTATGTTGAAGACAGCTTACTTATGATAAGGAAAACTCTAAAAAAAAAAACCTCCAATTTAGTTGCAGGTAATCCTTCTATTAGTACCATCACAAAAGTAATACTCATTCTTGATCTGCAAAACAGGTTGATCCTAGGAATATGACATGTAAAATATTTTTGTTGTTGCTTGTAAAAAATTGCTTAAATCTTTCATAATGTCATATTTAAAAAGTATTTTAAAATAAAGATTTTTTTAGTCTATTAAAATTTAAATATATAAATATGTGGACTTAAAATATGATTTTTCAGGTTGAACAATGTACAGTGCTTCAGAATGACAAAAAAAACAGTAAAAAAATCAATTTTTTTAAAGAATTTTTTTTTTAAGAAAACTTTTCTCTCAATACTTTTATTGATATAGTAATAAGCAATTCAAAAAACCTTTTTGATTACAAAATATTTCCTGACATTTCAATGGGTATTTAAGAAGCAAACCAATGTTGTAATTTAGCTAACTTAAAACTATGTTTGATTTTTAAAAGTTAAAATAATGTAAAATAATCAGCTACCCTAGTAGCAAGCTACATTAGTGAAATATTAATTATCTCAGCCAAATTTGCCCTAGTTTTGCAATATTGTACCAATTTATACTATATAGTGCCAATATAACACATCAACATAAATGCAATTTTGGCAAATATTTATAACATTTATTTTCTTATATTTCTAACATTTTAGCAATATTATAATCACACATTTTAACAATAATGAACAAATATGAAAGGTTTGATATAAAAGAGAAAAACAGGGAATATCAGTTTTTTAAAATTTAACGATTTTTTTATTAATATGTTGTGCAAATCATTGACTACCTTCAGTATCAAATTTGAAGAAAAATTTTAAGAATATCCTACTATGTAATAACAGTGAACACTGTTACAACCATAAAAACCAGGAATGCCATAAATTTTTTTGTTTTAAGAAAGATAAATAAGGTGGAAAAAAAGGTCAAACACATTTTAAAATCACAAAAAAAAACTTTTAAAAGGTCAAGTAAAAGTGGCAGAAAATGAGAGTTAACAGATAAAAATGAAACTTTTCATTCTTCTACAAGTTTAATCAAATGAAGTGTAAAGACCAACAAAATGCTATGCATCAATTGTATCTCTAATTGAAGAAAGACAAAAAAGACCTGAATGCCAAATGAAGTAGGCTATTCATATCAGTAACTCTGCTATTCATATCAGTACAATTTTTAAATTACAAGATTGCCATTTAAAACTTATTAGAATGCATTTCTTTCTATATTTAACATCAGAAAATCTTTGCTTGAAAGAATTCAAAAGGTCTGGTAACAACCACTGGTAAGTTTAATATAAGAGTATAAACAAAGTTTAAAAAAAAAAGTAACCAACAATTATATTGTTGAGTATTATTCATAAATTTTATGTTTTAAAATATGTCCATAAATTTTTGGTCTAATATACTACCGTAAATCATTGTGCGTATATTTGACCATGCCATTTGTAAATTATTTTGAAATTTAAAAAATAGAATCAAATTTTAAAATTCAAGTTTAAAAGTAATTAGAAAAATTATTAAAATATAATAATTAGAAATTTCTATTTCAGGGTAATTATTATAATTATCATAAGTAATCATAATTATACATAATTATCATACCCATTTTTAGATTTTATGTCTTTTAGTTAAGGAATTTTTATTTAGATTCTGTTACAAATATATATATATTTTTTTACAGGAATGCCATCCTAGGATCAAATAGAAAAACACATCAACCATCCTAGTTGTTTTAATAAAGACAAAAATGATGAATCATACTTAATATTTTAGAGGACAGTGGTCTCATTACACTCTCAATGTTTCTAAAAAAGTGTACCTAAAAATTCTAAATTTAAGTGAGATGCATGCAATGTGTGCATGCAATAAAAACTGTTTAATATGATACACACTTTTTGACCTGATTTGCAATCGCCTTTAATTTTTGGAAGAATTTTGTCTAATATTACTGCTAATGGCACATTACAGACAAAACCTTTTTTTAAATTTGTAACATACATAAATTGTGAGCTAATGAAGTTTACCTCTATTCCTATAATCAGATGGTAGGAAAAAAAGAGTATAATGATATAGCATTGATGTTGCTACACCACTTGACTGAAATCGGAAATAGCATGAATCCCAGGGAAAACCTGGAAAACTCAGGGATTTTTTAAAATTTTCATAAAATTCAGGGAAAACTCAGGGAAAAATTTTTTTTTTTTGAAATTTAGTACAATAATTTTTTTTTTTCAAAAATATTTTGCTAATACATATAATAATAAGTTTGCAAGATTTTTGTCAAATATAAAGATTGTGTTTAATTAAGGAAAAAAATAATCTTGTTGATGAACAGAAAGAATATAGAAAAGTAAGGGAAAAGTCAGGGAAAACTCAAGGATATATATATATATATATATATATATATATATATATATATATATATATATATATATATATATATATATATATATATATATATATATATATATATATATATATATATATATATATATATCAATGTATGTATATATTAAAATTAAAACTACAGGAATTTTGCTGCTATTATTCTCAACCATCAACTAAAATATGAGGGTTTTTTGTTATTGTGGTATTTTAAAATTTTTTAAGTGTTTTTCAGCTGCTGTAACTAACTTTTGTGGTGATTTGATTGAATAGTTTTTGCAGTGGACTTGAAGGTGGGAATTGAATATGGTTTTTTCTTAATGTTGGAGACTTTTTGTTGTACTGTCAATTAAACAAAATTAAATAAAAACAAAATATAATTAATTTAATCCACCACACAATAAAAGCATCTCCATCAACATTGGGAAATGAATATATTCATTTCCTACTTTCAAGTTTTTTCACTTTAAAATACCACAACAAAATAATAAATTTATTAAAAAAAATCTACCTTGCAAATGCAAATCAAGCATTCTATAATTTTTTATCATTTTATCAATGATAAAAAGTTATAGAATAACAAATGTGATTTATAAATGCACAACATCTTCCTTAAACACACCAAGCAGTTTTGAAATTTTTGTTTGCAAGCAAATTATTTCAGCGTGGTGCTGTTTTTGTAATTGATTTAAATACATTTAAGCCATTTCATCAAATCACATTTCACAATTTCTTGCTAATTGTTGTTTTTTATAAATTAGTGACACGTTACGCATAATCCATAAGCGACCAAAGTTATAGTATTTGAAAATCATAAATTTTTTTTTTCAAGTATAGTTAACTTGGTGACTCTTGATAAAACTAGTGCTAAATTTGATCATTTTATTCAACATTTTGTATGCATAATTTCTTAACTCTTCTGTTGCAAGCAAAATCAGTTCTTAAGTTTTATGTAATTTTTTTTTATTAATAGTATTTAAAGTTATTGCTAATTTTTTTTATTAATTTAGAAAGTCATTAACTAAAAGATTATCACACAAGTGTATAAAAATATCAGAAGAAGAATACTCTATTATTAATACTGTATTGGCTTTACTCACTCGGTATTTATTGTATAATGTCATTTATGTTAATAATATTTTGAAATCTAAATATGTACTGATCATATTCAATCAATATTAAGAGATTGCTTGCATGACAAAGATTTTGAAAGTCATGTTGTTCGTATAAAAGAAGAAGCTGTTCCATATTTTGGAATGTTTGCTCAAGTCCCTGATACTATTAAGGTTATTTATTCTTATTAAAATTGTATTATTAATATAGTTGTTCACCAATTAAATTGTTTTAGTTAAATAGTTTTTTTGTTTTTTTAATTTAACCAGGAGAATGATATAACTCATGAGAATACCATAAGCCAAAGCAATAGTAAAAGTAACCAAGAGTTAAAAAAAAGTTACCTGCAACATGTACCTGATGACATTTTAAATGAAGAAATAAAACAAATACATTATAATGAAAATAAAAATGTGGAAAAAAAAATCTCAGGTGAAACTTCACTTGAAAGTCGAGAGCAGTTAAAAAGGTGCTCCTTTTATATTTATAAATATTATTAGTTATATATATATATATATGAAGACCACACGGGTAAAACCACAGATGTCACATTTTTCTCATTTCGAGAAAAATGAAATTTAGTGTTTAGTGACTTTAGATATCTGTTTATTAATAATTTATTTAATTAAAAGTATATTTTTCTGACATTTTAGTCCTTATACAATATAAAAACGCAGTTTTTGTGCTAAATACAAGTATTATTTATTCACAATGTTCTTTTGAAAACAAGACACTCATTTTGGACATCTGTTGTTTTTCCGTTGTAAACTCATCAACTCGTAAATTACGTTAGATTGTAACCTTTTAGAGCACTTATTTTTTTTTAAGGTAGATGGTAACACATTGTAATTTACAACTACAACGTACTAAGTGTGTGATGGGATAATAAAGCCACCGCCCCCTCCCCCTCTTTAAATAAAAAAAATTCGATTCACGTTCACAGAAAAACATTTTAAAAAATCAAAATGTTTTTTTAAATGTTTTTCTGTTGTTTACTTCATCCGAAAAGTTAGTCATGTGACTTACGCTTTTATTATCATTGGTTTAGTTAAAAATAACTTGTTTTTTACGCGGTAAACATTGGACAACAGTGGTTGTTTCAAAGTTGCCCTTTTTTTTAAATGACCATAGAACCTTAAAACATAGTTTTTTTGTTATGAATTTTTAAATTAAAATAGGTTAATACTAAAATATCATAAAAATATATAAAACTTGAAATTTTCAAAAAGTGGACATCTGTGGTTTTACCCGTGTGGTCTTCATATATATATATATATATATATATATATATATATATATATATATATATATATATATATATATATATATATATATATATATATATATATTTCTATAAAATGAATAAAAAAATAACTGTTTAAAAAATTTAAATTAAAACTACTGGGGACTAAAAAAAAGTTTTTAATCCCCAGTGTCGAATAAGGAAAGTAAAAATTTTTTTCAATGTCAACACTTTGATACTATTTCATATCTTTTATTAAATTTACTCCTCTGTATAAAAATATATGAAACTTCTCTCTGAGACAAAGATTACAAACATTTGATGCTTGATTGTAGGGCTTATATTTTTTGATTTCAGTTTTCATATTTCTGTAGAAGTTTCAGTGTCATTTTTATATTTGTTTGCATTGAAAGATTTAAGATTGTTGGCATATATGGTTTCATTTAAACCAAAATAGACTTTATATTTGAATTCAGAATCTCCAGAAGTTACATTGGCTTGGTATTTGCTATTGCTAGATAGGCATTGGTTATTTAATGGACAAATTTTTTTTGTTTATGTAGTTTGCATTGCTTTAATTTTATATTTTAAATGAATGGAATTATTACCCTTTCATGCCAAAGGCGCACATATGTGCACCTATAATATACCAATCCAAGTATCTCTCTAAAAGTTATTTTTCAATCCTATTTAGTCTAGTCAAATGACTATGAGCACAAAAAGTTAAATATTAACTTTTTGTGTTCATAGACATAAATTAATCTTAGGAGAGTAGGAACTATTAATTTACGGATTGTTTTCATGCTTAAAACACTAAAGATAATTGACACCAATAAATGTAATTGTTAGACTTTTCTTATTGCAGATGGCTTTAAGAAGTAGAATTATAAATGATCCAAAAGAAGCTCTTGGAATCCTTGATGAAATCGATGATTTTGGTGATTTGTCTTGTCTATATTCAGAGTCTAATGACAACAAATTTCAAGAGAATAAGACTGTTATTTGTTCACCAACAACTCAACTGTCAGCAAGTCGGTCATCATCAGAAAAAATTTCATTGTCTTTGTCTGAAGATTATGTTAGTTCTGAAAATGATTCAACTAAAAAAACAGATGTGGGTTTTGCTATTAATAACTCAGGAACTAGTAATAACAAAGGACTCTATATATTACCATTTCCTGATAACAATGTTACTGTAAAAAAGGAAAGAAAAATACGTAAACAACCAACAATTCTAACCAAAAAATCAATCTTTATCAAGACAAATAAAAAACTTCATACCATTAAGACTAAGAAATCTAATATTAGTAAAGACAGAGAATAAATAGAGAAAAAAATTAAAATTACTAGGACAATCATTCCAATTATGGTAAATAATATGGTAACGCCATGAATAATGCATTTAGAAAATTTTCGAATCTTTTCAGAGCTATTTTTGCAATCTCTTGGCTTATTGCTCACTAAAGTTTTATGAACTCCAACATTTGTGTATCATAATGTTATGTTTTCATTTGGTCTTCCACTATATTTAGATCTACTATTTTCTACTAATTGTTCAATAAGTTCCTCACAATAACTTTGATGACTGCAATGACATAACAAATTGATGACATAACAAATCTATAACCATGATGGTCAGTAAACTAAGACTATAATGTATAATGTATATGAATGAAGTATGTATAAAGTATGTATAGTTCCTCACTGTTTATACTAATTGTTCGATAAGTTCCTCACAATAACTTTGATGACTGCAATGACATAACAAATCTATAACCATGATGGTCAGTAAACTAAGACTATAATGTATAATGTATATGAATGAAGTATGTATAATCTATAACCATGATGGTCAGTAAACTAAGACTATAATGTATAATGTATATGAATGAAGTATGTATAATCTATAACCATGATGGTCAGTAAACTAAGACTATAATGTATAATGTATATGAATGAAGTATGTATAATCTATAACGATGATGGTCAGTAAACTAAGACTATAATGTATAATGTATATGAATGAAGATGTATAATCTATAACGATGATGGTCAGTAAACTAAGACTATAATGTATAATGTATATGAATGAAGTATGTATAATCTATAACGATGATGGTCAGTAAACTAAGACTATAATGTATAATGTATATGAATGAAGATGTATAATCTATAACCATGATGGTCAGTAAACTAAGACTATAATGTATAATGTATATGAATGAAGTATGTATAATCTATAACGATGATGGTCAGTAAACTAAGACTATAATGTATAATGTATATGAATGAAGTATGTATAATCTATAACGATGATGGTCAGTAAACTAAGACTATAATGTATAATGTATATGAATGAAGTATGTATAATCTATAACGATGATGGTCAGTAAACTAAGACTATAATGTATAATGTATATGAATGAAGATGTATAATCTATAACGATGATGGTCAGTAAACTAAGACTATAATGTATAATGTATATGAATGAAGTATGTATAATCTATAACGATGATGGTCAGTAAACTAAGACTATAATGTATAATGTATATGAATGAAGTATGTATAATCTATAACCATGATGGTCAGTAAACTAAGACTATAATGTATAATGTATATGAATGAAGATGTATAATCTATAACCATGATGGTCAGTAAACTAAGACTATAATGTATAATGTATATGAATGAAGATGTATAATCTATAACCATGATGGTCAGTAAACTAAGACTATAATGTATAATGTATATGAATGAAGTATGTATAATCTATAACGATGATGGTCAGTAAACTAAGACTATAATGTATAATGTATATGAATGAAGTATGTATAATCTATAACGATGATGGTCAGTAAACTAAGACTATAATGTATAATGTATATGAATGAAGTATGTATAATCTATAACGATGATGGTCAGTAAACTAAGACTATAATGTATAATGTATATGAATGAAGTATGTATAATCTATAACGATGATGGTCAGTAAACTAAGACTATAATGTATAATGTATATGAATGAAGATGTATAATCTATAACGATGATGGTCAGTAAACTAAGACTATAATGTATAATGTATATGAATGAAGTATGTATAATCTATAACGATGATGGTCAGTAAACTAAGACTATAATGTATAATGTATATGAATGAAGTATGTATAATCTATAACCATGATGGTCAGTAAACTAAGACTATAATGTATAATGTATATGAATGAAGATGTATAATCTATAACCATGATGGTCAGTAAACTAAGACTATAATGTATAATGTATATGAATGAAGATGTATAATCTATAACCATGATGGTCAGTAAACTAAGACTATAATGTATAATGTATATGAATGAAGTATGTATAATCTATAACGATGATGGTCAGTAAACTAAGACTATAATGTATAATGTATATGAATGAAGTATGTATAATCTATAACGATGATGGTCAGTAAACTAAGACTATAATGTATAATGTATATGAATGAAGTATGTATAATCTATAACGATGATGGTCAGTAAACTAAGACTATAATGTATAATGTATATGAATGAAGTATGTATAATCTATAACGATGATGGTCAGTAAACTAAGACTATAATGTATAATGTATATGAATGAAGATGTATAATCTATAACCATGATGGTCAGTAAACTAAGACTATAATGTATAATGTATATGAATGAAGTATAATGAAGTAGAATAATAATAAATATAAATATTTAAATTGCATTATTACACAGTTATTTAAAATATTTAAATACTAATGAAATCAAAAATTAGGAATTTAACATTTAACTATGGGGATCCCTAATTATTGGGGGCCCCAGGCCTTGGTGTAGCCTGGCCTATTGATTGTCAAGTGCAAAAAACCATGACCAGCATTTATGGTAACACCATGTTACCATAATTGTGATAGCAATATCAATTTAATCCATTTATTTGATTTTTTTTTTTTTGATAATGTTTTAATACAAAAACCTTGTAACTGGAACAAATCTATAACTCTATAATTCAAGGTTTCAATCCTCTCCTATAAAGCATAGAATGATATGGATTGATGTTACTTCAAATGATATCACAGTATTTATAGCAATCTGTTTAGCGATGGGATTAATAAAACTTCCTCGCATCTATGAGAGACAAAAACAATTGTTTTTTTTCTCATCTTTTAGTAAAGTAATGTAAAGTATTATTATGGAATAAAATCAAGTAAATAGTATAGGCAAGTCTTTTACTACTTATTGAAAATATGTGTTCATAATGCTTTTTTACTTAAGTCTTAGTTTACTGACCATCATGCTTGCAGTCATCAAAGTTATTGTGAGGAACTTATTGAACAATTAGTAGGAAATAGTAGATCTAAAAATAGTGGAAGACCTAGTAATTCAAATGAAAACATAAAATTATGATATACAATTGTTAGAGTTCATAAACCTTTAGTAAGTAATAAGCCAAGAAATTGCAAAAATAGCTCTGAAAAGATTCCAAAAGCTTCTTTAGTTGGTCACTCTCACTGTCATTCAAAAGGTATTTGTAGATCACATGTTTCTTGCTCATTTTATGTTGTCCATGCCTTGATTCAGTCTCCAATTGTTGGAATATGTGACATTCATAGATTTATTTTAAAAATTTCATGTCCATATTTACTTTTGTTGACTAAATATAATAAATAAAATGACTTGAAAAATATTTTCTTTCTTTTAAAAAGTGTAAATTAAATATTTTCTACCAATCTAAATAAGAAAAGTAGCCCATCAAAATAGTTAGTTTTCTTTTGAGGTATTTTTCATATTTTGTTAAATTATGTTAACAAAAAAAAATTGACGTCATCAGAGAAAAACGTTTATTTATTTTTTTTTTCTAGTTATCTAAATTAGGAAAGTAACCCTTTAAATGAAAGCTTTATAAGTTTTGCATCTTTTTAAAAGCCTTCATTTACTTCTAAATCAATATAGCTATTTAAAAGGCTTAATGAGCTAATATTTAAAATTGGCAAAGTTTGTCTATAAATATGAAATAATGCAGTCTATAAATATGAAATAATGCAGGCATCATCAGTTTGATTTTTTTACTTTCTTATTTTAATTTTTGGATTCTAAATTTTTTCATTATGCCAAAAAAATGTGGAATTATGTATTGTAAAGGAAATTATAATGAACTTAATAAGTGTTGTGTTTTTAAATTACCTAAGTGTTGTGTTTTTAAATTAGATGAAGTTGAGTAACAGAAATAGATTAACGTGCTTCCTCCACATAAAGATTCTATTATATAGCCATCTAAATTTTTTACATGTGAAAAACATTGGCCTGAAAATACAGAAATGATTAAGCTTCCTGGTGGCTATACTCGACCACTATGTACACCAAGTATTTTTAATGTTCCTTTTTCTTGTCTACCAATACAAAAGTCAGTGCTTCGACAATCTAATCCTGAAGATTAGCAACTTAATTATTTTCTTAAAAAATAAGCAGTCTATAATTTCAGTCTATTTTGCAGTCTATAATTTCTGCCACAAACATCGATCTTGTATTACAAAAAACATTTTAAAAAAGTAAAAAACGATCATCAGAAAAAATTAAACCCACAATTGCTTATTCAGGTGGAGTTTTATATGGGATGGCAAAAAATGATCCAGAGTCTAAAGCTGGATTATAATGATGAAATGCTTACATGGTGGACCTAGTTTAATGGTTTCTGTTACACCTGTTCACAAACTAACATCAATGTACCAATTTAGTGTTGCGAAAGAAGCTGCTGTTTTAGCTGAAAAAAATGGTACCATTATTTTAGGATCTGTAGCAGATAATCATAAAATCAATCAGCAATACTGCAAAATTTTCCAAAGAACTACTGACTGTCAGGCCATTCATCCATTAGATAATCAGCGTGTAGAAATCAGTTCCTATATTTTATGCTGCTGTTTACCTTCTAGACTTTAATTACAGAATGTGCAACATGTTTTAAAAATATTTAATGAGAAAGTAGTAGCTGCTTTGAAATTAAAAGGAGCTCATGAAACATCCTTATTTATTTAGCAGGTTTTAGATTGGTGGAATATTGTTAATATTTCTGCAAAAAGGCAAAATATTAGACTAAGAAACCACAACCGATCTGTGCAAGGCAAAAATTCGAATAATCTCCTAATATTTTTAGAACTGTTTAAATCTATGAAATCAGGGCATGGACCCAAACGAATTCAATGTGTGATACTAAATTCATGATACTAAAAAAAAATTCTTCAGTGAATCCTTGTGTGATACTAAATTCATGATACTAAAAAAGAATCCTTCAGTGGTTTGCACCTTGTGCAAACCACTGAAGGATTGATTTAACTCTAAAATTAGTGAAAGTAGAACAACCCAATAAAAAAGATCTCACATGTGAAGGTCCAATCAGTTATGAAGATGCGACTTCAATTGAAACTTGCATTTATGTTGTGAGTCTTTCAGACACTGAAGAGAACTCTGCTGCCTATGTGGCAGGGTGGCTAGAGAAAAAATGTGAGGGTGAACTAGTTTATCCTGAGGATGAACCTATACTAACAAATGAAGCTAAAGTCTTTATTGAAGAGGTTTTACGAGGATATTTCAGCATGTTGTAGAAAAACACTTATAAACACTCTGTCTATAATGGATACATATGATTTTGCTTTATCATCAAAAAATCTTTATAGGCGTTTGGCTAATGTTCTTTTGCATGGAATTCATAATTTGGAAAAAGCAAAAATGCATGTCTTTATCAGACATCAATTAAAAAGGCATGCCTTGCCGAGTAATATTTATAGATAGACTTTGTTAATTTGTGTTTGTTGTTAATTTATTTATAGAGTTTTATATACTGACTAAATATATATATATATATATATATATATATATATATATATATATATATATATATATATATATATATATATATATATATATATATATATATATATATATATATATATATATAGATAGATAGATAGATATATATATATACTGACTATATATATATATATATATATATATATATATATATATATATATATATATATATATATAATATAATATAATATATATATATATAATAAATTTAAAAAAAATTTATATAATAAAATCTTCTAGAGAATATTTGTTTATTTTTTGCAGATGAACTTTTAAAAGTTTTATTAAATAAACTTTTTATTCTTTTTAAAAAAGTTTTATAGTTGTTATTAATTTTTACTTTGTTATTAAGTTTTTAATAATACTAACTTATATTCACTGTAAAATTATTTTATTAATATTGGTTTTACAAAGCATTTTTTGGTTAAATTTAATTTTATTAGCGTTTAGTAAGATGTATTTAATGGTCTTCGCTAGCGAAGTCAGAAAATCGAGTTTGCGCGTCCTGTCATAAAGTAGTCCTTAGTTTTAGTTTTATTTAATTCAGACTTAAAACTCAGAATTAAGTCTTAAATGTCAGAGTTACAAATGAAGTTATTTTTATTTATTTTATATAAGTAAATATATTGCTCTATTATTTAATAATATCGAGCACTTTTATACGCACTAGAGTATTCATTATATATATATATATATATATATATATATATATATATATATATATATATATATATATATATATATATATATATATATTAGATGTGACGAGTTGCGCTGCATAATAAAAAAAATGTTGGACAACACTCTCTATAATATATTATCAGAAGCTGCCTATGGCGAAATATCTTTAACTGACCGCCCTCAATTGATTGCCGTGCCTCTTCCAAATAAGAAAGATCCTTGAAAATAGAAAGTTTTTTACTTGGTGAAATGTTTTGTTTAATAGTTGTTTATAAAGTATATATTTGAAAATTTAATATAAACATATATAAATATATTTTTTGAAAAAGTTCTGGTGTATATTTATATTTATTGCATAGTTATTTTCTTACATATATAGTAAATAATGTATAGTTATTTTTAAAGTTTTAATATATGTTAATATGTAATAAACAATACATGATTTACAAAATATGTTATGCGGTTTATATTATTTCATAATATGATTACTTCCAAATTTTGATTTTGATTTTTTAATTACAACCATTAGGCCAGGTGAATAAAAAGCTTTTACTCAGCATTGTTGGAGTGAACTGCTCAGCTTTACGTGAATAAAAATTTGATCAATTTTGCTTAAGTTTTTACTTACGTAAAGCTAAAAAGAGTAATTCCGTGTCAAACAACAACAAAAATTCAAAAAAATAACCCACTATCTTAAAATGACTTGATTTTTGCAACAAAGATACTTAACTAGGCTAAAAAGAATTCCCTAAAGTTGTTTTAAACAAATCGGAATATTTTAGAAGTTATGCTCGTTTAAAATTTAAAACTTACTAACATTTTTACTTATCATGCTCCCCTAGCAACGTCCTTAGTAACAAGTAAATGCCGATACATACGTTGTTACCTTAACTATATTATTTTATAATTTGAAATTTTCCACATATTATTAGATGCTAAACCATAAAATTATACTAAGAAATAATATTTTTATTTATTTATTAATAAATCAATAAGAGTAATTCGGCGTTTTTAATAAAATTGAAAAGTAAACATGCTTACTATAAGAAGAATTACAGAAAAGTTTATGATCTATATATTTCCCAACTTCATATTTTCATATTTTGTTAAATTATGTTAACAAAAAAAAAAACACAACTAGAAAGTAAGAATTCTTACTTATGTGTAAAACTACAATATGCATATTTAATAAACTCAATTAAAAAAGTTTAAATTTTTAAAACAAGTATTTTCACTTAGAGCTAGTCAAAAAATAAGTGGTATTTTCACTTAGGTGTAAAACTGCAATATCTATGGCACGCATGTCCATATATAAACTCAATTTTAAATATCAAAACACATTAACTCTTTGAATTGTTTGTGTTTTTATGAATTGATAAATTTTTATACAAATTATTGAACTGAAAATATTCCTTTGTTTTTCTTTGGACTGTAAAACAAAACAAAATTAGGTAATATATTTTAATAAATGCAAAATATTGTCATAAACATATCATAGACATGTCGATTCAAAGTAATAATTGATAAAAGGAAGCAAGAAAATGTCTTTAAGATTCAACGGCCATGTTGGTGCATAAATTAAAATTCCACATCAACTTTGCACATCACCTTGCATCTCGCAATTTTTAAACATGTAAGTCAAGATATGGATAGTGTCATCACTGCAGTATTTCATCTCAACTTTATTTTGACATACAGGAATAAATTCATGAAAATCTTTTGTTCCTGGTATTGTTTTTACATTTTTAAATCGTTCAGATTCTAATAATCTTGTTTCTATCAAACTTTTACTTGAAACAAAAATAAAGCTTATACCTTTGATGTTGTTAGTGCAATATATAAACAATTCACCTGAGTTTAATATTTGATTAGTAGAAATTCTCTGCAAACTAGCATTAGCTACAAGCCGTTTAACTGTTCCTCCTATACCATCACAAGGTTGCTTTCCAATGCTGGTTGCAAAGAAAACCCATTTTGCATCTATTTCAAAGTCTGATTTATGCTGACATAGGTTAAATATATTTTCCAGTTTTTATATTGAGATGAACAGCCACCAGAAAAGTAGACCACGTTTACAATGCTGGGTATTTTTTGCTTCAGATTATTGATAATTGATTTTTGTACCTCGTAAACCATTGGTAGATCATGATTGTTATCATCTGATATAATGCAATATGAAGTGGAATGCAACACTTGATTTTCTTTATAGTACACAACCACTGGATGAAGTGTGCACTGAAGATTATTCCAATAGAAAATCTGATCTATCAGTAGTAACCCATTGGTTAAATTCGATAGTATCTTCTTCCTCAAACTGCCCTATTAGTTTGAATAGCTTTTCTTTTAATTTAGATGTATTTTTTGGACATTGTGTACATCGGTGTAACATGCATTCTTTGTTTTGCGTATCACAAACGATAAATTTATATAGTTCATGGTAATCAATTTTAATGGGTAGGAGAATTAACTTCATGTTTTGATGGTAGATACAAACGCACACAGAATGGTTTCTGTGTGCATTCCTTTTGACCAGGCATTTCGCAAGAGTATTCATCATCTTCATAAAAATTTTTCACTAAAGTATTTATTTGATCAGGGAGCATTTACCTTGCTTAGTTTGTGGAACTGCAAGAACTCCTTCCTTCTTTGCTAAAAATCTAGATTTTATTATTTGACAATTTGAAACACCAAAATACTCACTGCTGCTTCAATTGACCATTCTATACATAAACTACTTTTGTAAAGATTTAAAGTGAATAGATCAATACCTTTTCTGCAATTAATCTTTAACCAGACATGTTTACTAAAAAATTATTGTTAAAAACCCGGTTTGCATTTCAAAGTTTTTAATCAAGTATAAGATCTAATAACTTTAAGAAATGATTTTTGATTTCTTTTTTCAAAAGTTTCTATACCTATTAAATTTGTAAACGTATGGTTAATTTAACTGTGTATACTTTAACATTTTAGTGTTGCTATAGACGTTGCTAAGAGCGCATAGAATAAAAAATTTTTTTTAAATCTCAAACTTCAAAGACCCATAACTCTTAAAATAATGAAATTGACACCAAATTATTTTTGATTATTTCTAACGACACTAGTAACTGCATTTGTGCCAAAAATCAAGTATTTCTGAGATGGTGGGTTATTTCGACTTGTTGTTTTGACGTGGAATTACTCAAAACGCTGAGTAAACGCAATTCCTTTTTTTTTATTTGCCCGGCCTAATTAAATAAAAACGGTAACGCTAAAGCCAGTAACTTTCCTTCAAAAAATATTATGCTTTAAACAGCTGTAAAAATTTATTTGAATGCTGAAATGCTGGTTGACTACTTTACTTCTAACTATTTTTAATTACTTTCAATGATAATCTTCTAAATAAAATTAATTTGGTAAAAAAAGTAAAACAATTTAATATAAAAATAATATTGAGCAAATACGAAAAATTTAAATTAAGTAGTTGCAAAAACTGGCACCAAAACAATTTGCAAACATTGGCATTTGTGCAAATTGACATAAGTGCAAGTCAGTTGCCAAAAACTGGCAAAAGTACGCCAAAAGTATATGCAAAAACTGGCATAAGTGCGGACCTCTATCCCAATATTTTAATACTCTTATGCCAGTTTTTAGGAATTTTTTCGGGGCACATGCCAGTTCACACATATGCCTATTTATTCTTGCAATTATGCCAGTTTAATGCAACTGATTCGCACTTATGCCAATACTTGCAAATTTTTTTCAACACACTTATGCCAATGTTTGCAATTTCTTTTGGCGCACTTATGCCAGTTCGCATTTATGCCGATTTGCACTTATGTCACTTTTTGCAACTGTTTCGCACTTATGCCAATGTTTGCATATACTTTAAACGCACTTGTGCCAGTTTTTGCAACTGATTCGCACTTGTGTCAATTTGCACATATGCCAATGTTTGCAAATTGTTTTGTTGCACTTATTCAGACGCCCTCTATACTTGTAGCCTTTTGTTTGTAAACAAAAAGAAAACAACATCAAGACTTTACTTAAACTTCTAACCTTTAATCGTAGACGCAAATAGATACGTTCATAATATTTTATAAATATAGCATCTTAACGGTTCGCCAATAATATTCAAGTATAAGCATTAAAAATGGCGACAACGAAACGATAACAACTTTTTTTTAAACTTCGTATTAAATGAATGGAATACTTCAAGCATGACTTTTAATTTCACAATTCTCAACAGTAAGATCCTCTACAAAAAATGAAGAATGTGTACCTCCAACAAGTGTTGCCTGAAGATAAATCAGAACAGGGGAAGGTTGTGAAGATAGCAAAAACCCAACAAAAATACTTCAGTATTAGATTGTTGGAATCATATAGCAAAGATCTGATCAACAATGTTGTAATACTCTTGTATATTTAAGAGCGCATCTGCCTGGTCAACTCTCTTAAAGCGTTCAGCTTAGATTACCCTCAGATTGATGTCAATTGTGTTGTCAATATCATTGAATGATGTGTTGAATCTTGTTCTTCACATCCATTAAAAGAGGAGCAAAACATGTGTTTCACTCTTGCAGGTAAGATATTCGCAAGGAAACCTTTGAGAACAAGTTACAACAGACTTAGTAGGTTTAAACCGTAAAGAGTTTTAAAATAGTCATCAGTATTTATTTATAAAATTGTATATCTGAAATTTTCCAACTTTCGATATACAATTTTATAAATAAATTTATAGAACCAGAGAAGCTGGTTTAAATATTCTATGAATCAGCTGCCCATGACAACTGGTTTATAGAATACTTTACAGAAAACAGAAGCTTTCTGGTATTAGTGTAAGTCTTACTTTTTTTCCTTTATTTGCGTCTGTTCTGACAGGACAACCAATGTTAGTCACAAAACTGAACTTTTTAATTGACCAAAGATAACTTAAACTGGCTTTTTTTTTTATAAGAGAATTATACGTTTATAAATATATAAAGCTCAGGTTATGTTTAAAAATTAAGCGTATGATAAGATTTTGTTGAGTGTTACTTTAAATCCGGTGTCACGAAATAAATGTTCCCCATTATAGAATTTCCCCCGGGCCGAAATATTCTTTACGGGAGGAAAATTCATTTCGAAATAATATTTCCCCCCTCGTAATATCTTTTTCCCTATCTGCGAAATAAAGTTTCCTCCGTGACATTAGTTCCCCTAAATACTTAAATGTACAAATTGATATGACTTGCTCAATTAAATGCGCAAATAAAATGATCTAAATTTTAAATGCTAAATTCGGTGTAAATACTAAATTAACTAAAAATACATTTAAAAAATTCAGTTTTACTTGAATCAAACGCATCAATACGCGGTTTTTCCATTAAAGTCGC